CTGCGCTCGCGTGGATAGCAGTCTATGTGGACGATATTCTGATCATGGGGCCCCGGGCTGTAGCGCTTGCTGTTGTGAACAAGATTAAGGCTGCGTGGGAGACAGGGTCAATGAAGAAAATTCCGCAGTTGATCGAAGGAACAGCCTCGTTCTTTGGCATTGAGTTTGCCTGGAGGGGAAATCAGCTGATTTTGGGGCAACAGGGGTATATTCAAGATCTCATGAAACGGTACCCGCATGTGAAACTGCAAACCACTCCGTTGCCGCCCGGAAATTTCGAAATCCCTGAACTGGCTGTGGAGGAGAAAGACCCAAACGCACTCCGCGCGTGCCAGACGTCTCTCGGAGAGATGCTCTGGATTGCTACGCGTACCCGGCCCGATCTTATGTATGGCGTGAGCAAATTGGCCTCAGAAATGTCGCGCAACCCAGTGGCCACATTACCGTACATCGAACATCTACTAGGGTACTTGTTCAACACAGTCGATGTAGCGCTAGTGTATGGCCCCAAGGTCCCCACCTTAGGTGAGTCTGGTAGTGTAGCGACAGTCTCAGGAGCCAATGTTTTAGAGGTCCATACCGACGCGGGCTTCGCCCCGCTAGCCGGACGAAGCCAGGAGTGCGCTATACTCTTTCAAGAGGGAGCTATTGTGACCTGGCTGTCCAGTAAGCAACCATTTACGGCCCAGTCCACTGCCGAGTCAGAACTCTTAAGCACCATGACTGGGTTCAACGTAGGTAGGGCCCACCAGCTGTTAGCAAGTGAGCTGTGCGGAGGTGACGTCCGCCTTGTGGTGCTCAACGATAACCAAGCTTGCCTACAAATCATTCAAGTAGATAATGCATCCTGGCGGACTCGCCACTTGAGAATCAGGGCAGCAGCTCTGAAGGAACAATATCTTGCTGACCAGGTTGTGGTTGGGTATGTCTCAAGCTCCAGAAATGGAGCAGACCTCGGGACAAAGTCCGTTCCATTGCAGCGACTTCAGGAGTTGATGCAAGTGTTGGGGCTGGGTTCCTTGAAGGACCAAGGCACATTGTCCCCCGCACCTGTCGCTAATCAGAGCGGAGTCTCCGTCAGCCAAAGGGCATTGGTTTCAGTGGTGCTGTTGCTGTGCGCGACAGAGGCCGAAACAGTCAGGACTGAGCCTGATCTGAGTTCGGAAAGGGAGTGGGACTTCACTATCTTCATATGCATGGTTGCGGTGTGCAGCATTGTTGTTTGGGAAGCCTTGAAGTGGTTGCTCAGGAAGGGAATTTGGACTTTTTGGGTTAAGTTATGGGGAAACCGTGACATCGAAGAACCCGAAGCAGAGCTAGACACACTCAGCGAAGTGCAGCCTGATCATGAGGATGATCTTCGAGAGCTTCCCCAAATAGGCCCACCAATCCCTCGCCCCCATGAAGAGCCCGAACGACAAATTGCTCAGATGCCAGTCCCGCAAGAGGTGATAAGGTATGTAGATGACGAGGTGTTAATCTTCGCTGAGAGGGCACAAGCTCAAGAGTTTGAAAGGCTCACGCGGGTTGGGGCTATTGAGGCCGGACTTCGAAATCGGAATCTAGGCCAACGCATTTACCGAGAAGAACCAGATATTGAACCACCAGAGGCTCCGCCTTTGCCGCCAAGGCCTGTACAAAGGGCAGACAGCGAAGGGGTTCACCGCGAGGCGGACGCCCGAAGTCAGCGTGAACAGATTGCTTTTCCTCAAGCACCTCTGAGACCTCATCTAGTGTGGCCAGTTCCTGTACAGCTTCCGAACCACGAGGTGCTGAGAACAGCTAGCCCTTGGGGAGGACCTTTGAGTGCCGTCTTCCAAGTCCCTCCAGCAGGAGTCCGAGATCACTTCATCTACGACGCTCACCGCCGTCCAAATGTCTTGATCCGGTGGCATGGGATGCCGAGATTGCGCTTGTTCTGTCCGTCAGACGCGCGCCTACCAGAGGTCATTCGAAGACAATCCTTGACGGGCAGAAGGAGGACGCTGATCGTTCATGCTGACGGTCGCACCGAACTCCGCGATGATCGTTTTGATGATCCCACCAACGCAAGGCATTGCTATGACAATGCTTGGCGTGGAAGAACCGAGCTTGAATTGCGTCCAGAACAGAATGAGTGAGCCACCGCGGGAGATCTCGACGAATGTGCCTCATTTTGAGGCAGGGGGAGAGCGAAAGCCCCTGGGCGTCAGGTATCTCGCCAGCATCGGGTCATCGGGTCTTGGCATGCATCTATGTTGTTCTGCGGCTTTAGGCCCAGACACAGCACATGTGAGATGACAAAACATTTAAGTGTACAGAGTCAACATCACACGCTTTTCCAAATAAGCTTCAAAAGAAGAAGTCAAACACCGAGAGCTTTCTTTGCTGCTTGGGTCTGAAAACCGTCCGTGAGTGCTTGAGCCGAGCTCTAACCCACAAGACTTTATTCTAAGGGACCAGTACTGGTCCCGAGGAGAACGTGTTCCGGTACCAGGCCCATCATGGCTGTGGGAGGCGGGCGAGCGACCTGGGTCGGCTTGCGCCATCGAGGTCGAAGGGCTTAAGCGCCGCCCCCCAACGTCGGCCTAGGCCCTGAGTTTAGGGTTTAGGGTTTAGGGTAGGGTTTAGGCGGGTTTTAGGGGCCCATGCCTCGCGGTGACTCCAACGGCTCCGGCAGTGCAGCCTCCATGGGAAGGTGGGGGGGGGGAAGGGGGGTTTAGGGTTAGGGTTCAGGGTTCAGGGTTCAGGGTTCAGGGTTCAGGGTTCAGGGTTCAGGGTTCAGGGTTCAGGGTTCAGGGTTCAGGGTTCAGGGCTTAGGGCTTAGGGTTTAGGGTTTAGGGTTTAGGGTTTAGGGTTTAGGTTTAGGGTTTAGGGTTTTTAGGGTTTAGGTTTAGGGTTTCGGGTTTAGGGTTTAGGGTTTAGGTTTAGGGGGTTTAGGGTTTAGGGTTTAGGGTTTAGGGTTTAGGTTTTTTAGGGTTTAGGGTTTAGGGTTAGGGTTTAGGGTTTAGGGTTTAGGGAAGGGGGGAGGGGGGGGGGGGGGAGGGGGGGTGGGGGGGGGGGGGGGAGGGGGGGGGGAGGGGGGAGGGAGGGGGGGGGGGTTGATGATTGCAGGTTGAAGGTTCTAGGTGGCCCTCTGAGCCACTCGAAGCCGCTTTTTAAACCATTGAGCCTCGAGGCTTAGGAGCCAAGAGTTGCGCGCAAAGTGCTCGCGACAAAAAACGTAATGACCGAGCACTCAACACGATGCTGGGAGGGACTCGTTCTCTCTAGTCACAGCCCCCTCTCAAAACCCTCAAGACACCCTCCCAAAACCCTGACAAACCCTCATTCAATCTTTCTGAGAACTCCTTTTGCTCTCACAGTCACAGACCAGGCCCTGGCCTTCACTGAGGGCTCCTCGACCACTGCCGACATGGCCGGTCGCTTCACCGGGTCCTCTCAAAAAAAAACTTTTAAACCCCAAAGTCCCCCAAAAAAAAACCCTGAAACCCCGAAACACTCTTAGAGGCCCCAAAACGATTCGAAGCTCGCACACAAGAGGTCGAACCCCCTGAACACCCAAATTTGAACCCTTTATTCGGCAAACAAAAGCACATGAAAAGGGTCCCCTTTCTTGGGTCCTATATATAGTACGGCACCTTATGGAAAACAAGGGCCTCCCCAGCAAAACGTACCCTAACGTAGAGACCTACGATACCTAAACCCTAAACCCCAAACCCCAAACCCCAAACCCTAAGCCCCAAACCCTAACCCTAAACCCTAAACCACAGGAGAAGCCGCTAAACCCCAAGAGCCCCCAGTCGCCTTCTGCAGCAGCGAGAGGATGAGCGCCTGCAGCTCTGGGCCTGATGGTTAGAAGCGCAGCAGGGATGCTTATGGGTTTTTAGGGTTTTAGGGCTTTTAGGGTGTTTTTAGGGCTTTTAGGGTTTTTTGGGTTTTTAGGGTTTTTAGGGTTTTTAGGATTTGTTTAGGGTTTTTGGGGTTTTTGGGGTTTTTAGGGTTTTTAGGGTTTTTAGGGTTTTTAGGGTTTTTAGGGTTTTTAGGGTTTTTAGGGTTTTTAGGGCTTTAGGGTTTTTAGGGTTTTTAGGGTTTTTAGGGTTTTTAGGGCTTTTAGGGTTTTTAGGGTTTTTAGTTGGTTTACAGGGTTTAGGGCGTGGGGTTTCAAAAGGTTTGGGCAACCGTTCCGAATGGTGGACTTGCCAACTACCACCCCCCCCCCCCCGCCGCAAAGGAAACGAAGCGGTCACCGGAACTAAGTTCAAGTCCCCCCCTTTAACGGATTGGGGTGGGGGGGGGATGCCCTGGAAGGTCATATGAAACTTCGAGAGTCTTATCCCAAATCCTGTAAATCTCAGCATCCCAGACATCCCAAACATCCTGTCCAGCCTAAGAAGCCTGAAACAGACCCCGCAACCCTAAACCCTAAACCCTAAGCCCTGAACCCTAAACCCCACAACCCTAAACTTAAACCCCACAACCCTAAACACTAAGCCCTAAACCCCTAAACCCCACACTTGGGTGCCCGTGCTGTACTCCTCCGGCATCGGCTTAGGGTCGGCAGTGCAAATCAAGAGCCTCAGGGTCGCTACAAAAAGGGGGTGCCTCGGCTGAAAAAAATCGTATTTGTAGTATACTCATAACGGGACCATAATGGAATTTTGGGGTGTTATTGTAGTGCACTTATGAAGGGGCCATAAGGGAATACGATTAGTAACTAGTCCGACCCCTATATTCCGGCTTGGCACGGCTCGGTTTGGGCATGAGCTCTATATAAGAGCTTTGGCGCCCGACGCAGAGGGGGGATTGCGCCAGTGTCTTGCAGCTGCTGGGGAAAAGAGGTTGCAGTGCTGGGGCTCAGAATGAGCAAAGGAAACCATGAACGGACCTTGTGCGATGCCACTTCAACCAGGACACTTGCACAATAACATCGTTTTGAATGTGGGCATGATGCATGATCAATATATTGGCAACCGTGACCGCAGCACAGCATCGCAACAAACACCCGAACGGCCCTGATGTCATCCAGGGGGCGCCATGGCAGGGAGGTTCGAGGCGGAGAAGGGTACCTGCCAGGAAGGAATGTCGAAGGATGTCATGATGGGACTTGGTAGTCAGGCTAGGCCCGGGATCTTTAAAGGGGGTTTAGCTGCGCCTTCAGGCACGCCATCTCATACCACGCGACGCCCAGCGACCACACGTCCGCCTGCAAGGTGGCTCTGCTTCTCGGAACCATCCCTCTTGTGCCCTCAGTAATCGGACAAATCTGACACCAAGATTCTGACAGATTTGACTGCAGCCCACAGCTGGCCTTGAACCCCAAACCTAAAGGCCTTGGGGTAGCTTGACAGACAACTCCTCTTCATGTTCAGCAAATCCAAGGGCTGTGCAACACTTGTGCTTCCGTCTTGAGGCCTATCTGGCCTATCGACATTCCATGCCCTCAAGCTGTGCTCTACTCTGCAAGCTACAGCCATGCACTGCACCTTCATGCGCACTATGTCCACCTGCAGCCACATCTATTCTCGTTCAAAAGCTTTGGCAGGACATGAGCCGTCATGCCTGCTACTGGTCCCAAGTCAGAGAACTAAACAACTGCCCAAAGAACCCTCACCAAGAACAAAAGCTGCTGCGCCTTCATCCCGTATGGGTTGTTCTTGCACATCTCTGGCGACAGGTACGAAGGCGTTCCGACTGTCGAGTTTGCCTCTCAGCACTGACAAAGGGCCCCCTCAAGCAAGAATTGCTTTACGGCACAGACTCGATGCCACGCTTCTGCCATTCCAGCTGCGACTCCTAACAGCTCGTTCAGGTGCCCCATGTACGCATACACCCAGACTTGCAACCAGCGTCCCTGCGGCCAAACGGAACACCCCTGGAAACTTGAAGAACCGAAGCGAGCCAATGCGAGCCGCGCATACCTCCCACAAATCCACAGAAGAGTTTCCTCCAAGCCGGTGCTATGCCTGTCCCGTCCCCTCGATCATCTTCGCGATTCCGAAGTCGCCTGTGGCTCAACGCAAGATTGCAAAACAAAAAAAAGTCCCAGTTCTGCGCGTCTCTTGGGTCAGAGCCTTCAGGATGCTGTATCCGGGGTGGAGACTAGGTGGAGGCTTGCCGGTGCCATAGGCGGCTCCGCCAATAATCGAACATTGCGACGTAGGCAAGAATCCAGAGGAGATGACACCCCTCAACACGAGCCCAAAGCAAGCCTTAGCGCATCTTCACACGTGCGATGCCGAGGCGCCGAGTTTGACGGTGCATTGGCCCAGTTCGCCCTGGCGCGCGCTTTGGGCTCTTTAGGCCTGCACCCCCACTTGCAAGCAGGCGGGGGTTCCGGCTTTAGGTTGTCTCCCCCCCCGCTAGGAGCCTCCGAACAACCCCCCACAATCCAGCGTTGTGTCAAGCTACCCGCGAAAACTGGCTCATTTCATTCGGCTAGATCAAGCCTCGTCGCTACTTTCTGAAGATGGCATGCGGGATTGGGGGGGCGTCAGGGTGCATCCAGCTTTCTCAAGCTCTTTGTGTGCTGAGGCTCCAGGGCTTCGGGTACTTTCATCAAACCCTCGCAGGGGGCAGGAACACGAGAATTCCCCTACAGCCAACTGGCCAATTGGCCTCGCCGGCAATGAACACATTCGCCGGCTTCACATCCCGGTGCATGATTTTCCTGGGAGCCGCTTTTGAGACTTCAGAAGGGGGTTCTGTACAGTGAGCGCCTACGTACTGTAGGATTCTTTTGCCTCAGAGTCGCTTGAGCCCTTTGGGGCTCATCTTGAAAGGGGGGTCCCTTCCGATCCGGATCCCCAACTTCACGTCCCCGAGAGATTTGGGCGCGGGCTGCGCGTGGATGTAGTGCAAGGCTGAGCAGACCTGCGCGAAGACCTTGCAGTGCGATCCTGTCTTAACTCAGGCTCCCTGCTCTCCAGTCTGGAGATGAGTTCGCGGGAGAGTTCTGGGAATTTGGGGCATGGGGCCCGCTCTTGAGAAGCAGCCATCTCTCCCCCCCAACGCATGAGCTCAACCCCTGCTCCAAAGGCAAAACAGGAAGCATGGCACACACACACACACACACACACGACGTCGGTGAAGCACGCAGCAGAAAAACTCTCCGATGCATCCCTAAACCCTAAACCCTAAACCCCAAACCCCAAACCCTAAACCCGAAACCCGAAACCCTAAACCCTAAACCCTAACCGCAAGGAGCATGTCGAGGTCGGCGCGCGCATCACGACCGCCTCCGAGAATCGGGTGCCCTCTGCCTTCTGCGCCTGGCTTTGTAGGACTGGGCCGGGTGAGGGTCAGGGTTTAGGGTTTAGGGTCTAGGGTTCAGGGTTCAGGGCTCAGGGTTTAGGGTTCAGGGTTTAGGGTTCAGGGTTCAGGGTTCAGGGTTTAGGGTTTAGGGTCTAGGGTTTAGGGTTCAAGTCAACGTTGAGAAGATCAGTTCGGGGGCCAGTGCTCGATGCTGTCAAGCAAGATCACAGGCATGCCGGGGCTCTGGGATTCGAGCATGAACTTGATGGTTTAGGGTTTAGGGTTTAGGGTTTAGGGTTTAGGGTTTAGGGTTTAGGGTTTAGGGTTTAGGGTTTAGGGTTTAGGGTTTAGGGTCCCGGGACGTCTGCGCAATGCATCTGTGCGGGAAGCCACAAGCACAATGCCAGCCTGTATCCTCCGGGCAAGGTCACCCCCTGTCGCATACTCCATGACGATGTAGAGGAGCTCACACTCCTTGTCAGGGCTCCCCATTTTCCCGGCATAAACCCAAACACAAAGAGTCCGAACACCTAACCCATCATAGCCTCAAGGCCAAGGCAACCATCGGAGATTCTGCGCAGGGTTTTGGACCATCGTCACTCCACTCCAACCATCCCAAACACACTTCCGATACACTTGAATCACCAAGTCTCGAACCCCAGTATAACCCTCACCGGGCCCCAGTCGAGTTGGCTTGCTGTTTTGATCGCTGCTGGCTTGCGGTTACGTTGTCTCCTCCACGACGTCCAGCAGGGTTACGATGTGTTCGTGGCGAAGCTCACGCAGCAACCGACCTGGAAACCAGGCAAGCTTCTGCTTCAACCGTACTCCTCTTGGCTGCATTGGGGGGTTCTTGACCTTGCTTTTGAGCTTAGGGTCCTGACGGACAGGCTTGACCCGCGAGTCGCGAAACTAGGTGAAAAACAACATGGACCGAATCAGAAATCAACGAAGGCCGCGTCAGAAAACAGCAAAGACTGAGCCGGGGCCCGACAACGGGACCGCACGAGCTTCAGAGAAAACCGCACCAGGAGTCCCCAGGCACATGTCATTCCGCGAGCCCTTGCCAGCCCCTTCAGTGCCATCCTACCCGTTCAGGCTTTCGGTCCCGAAGCCTCTTAACCTTTTGACACGAAGAGCCCATTCACCTTCGGTCACGTCCAATATATACCCCCTGAGGAACCAATGGCGAACCAATGGCGAAGAGACCGGTCCCCTGTTCAGGGTTGCACACGCCTTCTCGGGGGGGGGGGGGGGGGGGGGGGGGGTGGTCATGTCTGGGTTCAAGGCGTTTCTGACTTCGGGCGCTTTACTTTTTCGGCTGCCAGATGACTCGCAGCACTTTGCCTGACTTGAGCTTCACTCGAAGATGTCAGGTGCAAGAGTCCAAGGCATCCAAAATCTCAAGCGGCCAGGCTCGAAAGCAGGCTGGCTCGACCAGGAGCTGATGTCAAAGCCTACGAATCCACCCCCCTTGAGCCCTCAACCCCAGAACACCGAAACCGTAAACCACAAAACCCTGAGACCCCCTAAAACCCCCTAAACCCCCAGAAACCGTAAACCCCAAGAACCCCTAAAGACCCTAAACCCTAAAACCCGAAAACCCTAAACCATCAAACCCTAAACCCCAAAAACCCCTAAAAACCCTAAACCCTAAAACCCGAAAACCCTAAACTCCGAGACCCTTCAACTCTGGGCTCCCGGGCTTTCAGCGAAGGCCTGAGGAGGTCACGGATGGGCGGGGGGGCTAAACCCTAAACCCTAAACCCTAAAGGCCCTAAACCCTAAAGGCCCCTAAACCCTAAAGGCCCTAAACCCTAAACCCTAAACCCTAAACCCTAAAACCCTAAAGGCCCTAAACCCTAAACCCTAAAGGCCCTAAACCCTAAACCCTAAACCCTAAACCCTAAACCCTAAGCCCTAAGCCCTAAACCCTAAACCCTAAACCCCAAGACAGGGACGCTGGCATCCGGGAAGCCGCGGAGGCCCCAAACATGTTTGGGGTTCAGAGCTTGATAGGGGTTTAGGGATTTAGGGTTTCAGGGGTTTAGGGTCTAGGCGGTTTTTTGGGGATTTAGGGGTTGTTAGGGCTTTTAGGGTTTTAAGGCTTTTCTCAGGGCTTTAGGGTTTTAGGGTCTTAGGGTCTTGTAGGCGTTTAGGCTTTGGCGGGCTGAAGTTGAGTGCTCCGTTGAATGGCCTCTCGTCTCCGCTTCTCGTCCACCCGAGTTAGGCAGATCTCCTGTGGAGGGCTCGTGATGGGGCGGTTTAGGGTTTAGGGTTTAGGGTTTAGGGTTTAGGGTTTAGGGTTTAGGGTTTAGGGTTTAGGGTTTAGGGTGTAGGGTGTAGGGTGTAGGGTGTAGGGTGTAGGGTTTAGGGTTTAGGGTTTAGGGTTTAGGGTTTAGGGTAGGGTTTAGGGTTTAGGGTGTGCTCACGCTTTCATATGGAGGGTCCGAAAATTAGGGGTGATTTTTGGGGGTACTTGTTATAAGGGAATCCTACTTTGGAGGGTTTCATATTCGGGGTCCCTTATTTCGTAAACCCCGCAAGATGAGGGTACGCCTGGATCCACAGACCTTTGCAAGCCACCCAACAGGTCTTGAACCTCGCATACTCGCGCGCGCAATCCTTGGCCACGTACTCCAGCTTCGGATCCTTCTTGGGGCGTACCACAAACCTCGCGATTAGATGACGTCTGCGAGGGTCTGTAGAGTCTATGCGCTATGTTCGGCATGCTTCGCTCCTCCAGCACATGATCCCCCAAGTCATCGAGGCCCACGCGCTACGCCCGAGGCGCCACGGCCCAAGATTGGGCCCTTTTCGTAGGCAGCCTGGAGCCGCAAGGTGAGGGTGTGAGGGCACTGTGCGAGAGTTGGGTGGAGGCTGTTCCTCAGGGGTCAGATACGCTGCCACAATGGCCTGCAGACGAAGATACGCAGGGGGGGAGGTGCTTCTCACAGCAGATGCGTGAGGCGTCAGCAAGCTCTGCTTTAAAGTGAAAGATGATGAGAAGAACCCGAGCCCGAACGGACCACAAACCAGCACTTGCAAGGCTTCCGCATGACTCGGCAGGCCTCGAAGGGCACGGCAGTGGCCCCCTGGCCTGTTGCGCTGCCCAGCTTGGCATGACGGATTTCGTTTAGGACACCGGGTGGCGTCCCATGACGTTCAGTGTCGAGTGATACTGAAGGAACCCCGCAACTGGCCGCATGCGAAAAAGAGTGTGAGGCTCCAACATTTCCGGGCTTTCGGGGCCCAAGCGTCCCAAGCCCGCGCAGGCCCAAAGCTCCCCCAAAAAACACCCCCTTCAAACCATCACAAGACCCCTACTACACTTTCCCACTTTTTCTGCGCACGCTTACAACCTTTACCTCCAGGAACCGGCGCGCGGGGAACGGGGCAGACGAGGCCGTGGCCTAAGGATCCGAGGTTTGGGGCGGCTCATGTTTCTCTGGATGGTTCTGAGTAGGGAATGAGGGAATGAGGGTATACCCTGTAAAATCCCTTAAAGGGTATGTTAGAGGCCCTAATTCCGGAATTCCCTACTAAGAGGTACTGGCCAGAGCCCAGGTCCAGCAGTCGTCGTTTCAGAGGGGAATAACTCGACGCAACTTGCCACACAAGAATAGGGTTTAGGGTTTAGGGTTTAGAGTTTAGGATTTAGGATTTAGGATTTAGGGTTTAGGGTTTAGGGTTTAGGGTTTAGGGCTTAGGGTTTAGGGTTTAGGGTTTAGGGTTTAGGGTTTAGTGAGGAAAGAAGCCCAGCGGCCATAGCTACGGCTGCTGCTGCTCCCTCCGCGGCAAGTGCTGCCGCCAAACGCCTCAAAGGTTCCAGTATCTTCAGGATTTAGGGTTTAGGGTTTAGGGTTTTAGGGTTTAGGGTTTAGGGTTTATGGTTTAGGGTTCGAGGGGTCTTGGGACGATTTGCTGGGCTTAGGATCTCGGGCTTGGGATTTGGAGCTTGGCCTGTGTCTCGCTTGAAGTGAAAGTTCAACTCGCTTAGCCGGCAAGGCGTCCCGGGCTCAACCCCCCAAACTCGAGCTGGCGAGGACGTGCGGAGAGTGCAGGAGGCAGGGTTACATGACGCAGCCTTTAGCCGCTTTAGCCGAGAGGACGACCTACAGCCATGCATTCTTTCCAGGACCTGCAATTTTCGGACACAAAGCTTTCGTGCCCAGGAGCAATTGCAGTGGAGGCGGCCGCAATTGACACCGGCAAGTGTGACGGCAGCACGGTCGCCTTGGTGAACCCCTTAAATCCCAAGCAAGCAACATACGAACCTGAACACTTCAAGTCCAAAGTCCAGAGACCTTGTCTTGAGAACCTCCAGACTCACAACCTGCGCCTCTCGAAATTGCGAACTCACACACATTCACGCCCGGCCACCGTCTTTCGTAGGGCCGGATCGGCCAGCCTGGCTTTGCATTCTTTGCACTGATCACATGCAAGTCCCTGGACAACCTGAAAAACACCTTCAAAACCTGGCTGCCCCCTGGCCTTCTCACACTCCTCGTGCAGGCCCCGTGCCGGGACCCGCAGCAGGGGTTCAAGGGGAAACGGCGGGCGCCCTGAACCCTACGACCCTTTGCTGTTACGGGGGCCCTTTGTGCGCTAAGTTAAAAACCCCATCTTCCCCATGAGGAGTGGGCTCAAGGCTACGCCAGCGGCGGCTGGGAGCCCAAACGAACAGAGCCAACAGCTCGTAGCTTGTAGATGAGACTGCAACATGCAAGGTCCCCACAGGGGGGGCTCTGCCGTTGGGATTGATCCAAGGTCTTGGACAGATTGCAGATATTGAGAAGACTTCAGAGCGTAGCGGCGTAGTGAACCGTGGTCCCATGGCGTGCGGGGTCTGGCTGCAACGCCGGAAATTGGCATGAAAAAGCCTACAAACACTAAGTCAATGCCATTCAGGGGTTCGCAAGAACATTGTGCTAGGGACCTGACGGCCGCTTGCAACGTGACTTCATCGCAGAAGGTATGCCTTCCCTTCATCAGCTTCCATCAAGCCATCCATACCCCGGCCCTTGAAAGGGTCAGACCCATGAACCAAACCCTTCAAAAATCCTTGGAGACGCCTGGGGCCGCTGCACCCACATGTGGTCCAAGGAGTGCCAGGCAGCCGTTTTGTGCTCGCGGCTGCATGTGGTCCGGAGACCGGGGCTAATCCCCTGCACCCGCAATAACGGGAATTCATTTCGGAGGCACGGTTCCTTGGGAACCCTTCCCACCGAAACAGCAGAGAAAAAAATAGTTCATGCAGCAGGCACAGACATGTCGCTACCACGCATGTGGCTTGTCCATCGTACAATGATTTCCACTTTCCTGACGAGCTTGCGTATAGGAACCGATGAGGAGCTAAGGCTCCAAGCCTTGGGTGATACATGCTGTTGTGTTGCTGGCTCCGAGGCGGTTATGATCCAAGCCTCTGCCATTTCGAATGAATCCTCATAGCATCAACTCGGTTGGACTACTCAGGCTCAGAAGCTCTGAGCTGCAATGTGGCGAACCCGCTTAGAAATAGGAAATTACTGACCAAGATCTCAAGATCTGGACATCATGAACCGAAGGCGACGTTCCATGCTGCGCTTGGTCCAGCCGGCGACCGCCCTTTGGCAAAGCGTCGCTAGGGACTGGACTTCAAAATTGTCCATGGTCGATCGAGCTCCGCGGACATTTTTATCTAAGGTTGCCGAACGTGCCTAACTAAGCGACTGCATTGGGGTTGGCGGATGCAATCGCTCGAACACTGCATTTATTCTACGAGGCTATCCAGCCGCAGACGTGGCTGAAGGTTGGTCTTGTTCTTTGAATCTAGAGAAGCCCTCCTGTGCTCGAGCACTCTTTCTAAACTACTATCTGTGCAATCTCACGCTCATGCCGTCGCTTGAGTGGTAGAGCCTGGAAGGTTGGGGCTTCCTTCCGAGACGACCCTTCATGCAGCGCCCTCGATTGACACAGCGGAAAGCACACGTCAAGCGAGTTTCTGAAGTCTACGAGTACCTCCTTCGTGGACAGTTTGGGCAGGGCGTTGGGTCACGCGGGTCTCTCCCGCTATGTGAACATCAAATCCATCAAATCCGTCCACAATCATTTCATCCGTTCAACCCATCGTCCCCGCCTGAATGGCGGGCTTCCAGCTCCAGCGGCTTTACATGCTCCAGGGCGTTGCGCAGCGCCTGGAGGTAGCCTGGGCTCAATCTGATGGCAGGGCTGCTACGAAACGACGGGGCTTTTCTGCGGCAAACCCAAACCTTGAGGCTCTGCCCAATGACCCCAATAGCCCCAATAGCCCCAATAGCCCCAATAGCCCCTCAGGAAGGCTCCTACAGCCAGGGAGCCGAAGACGTACGTCTCGTCCGGCTCGAGAGCGTGCTGCTCCGCCCAGTGGTTCCAGGAGCCGACGAAGAAGAGATTCCTTACGAGGGCTGAGGGGTTGTAGGGTTTAGGGTTTAGGGTTTGGGGTTTAGGGTTTAGGGTTTAGGGTTTAGGCTTTAGGGTTTAGGGTTTAGAGCCCACGTCAGCTTCATGGGCTGTGTGCCGCAAACGGACGAGCTGACTGAGGGGCGGTTGGAATATGGGGCTGCCTTTTCCAGCTCTGCAACCTTCACCAAATCCCCGGGAAAAGGGACGCGGAAGCCGAGTCTCTCGGGGACGTGTCTCTGCGGCATGGCCGTCATGTTCGCGAAGGAACCCACCAGGGCATGCTGGAAGTCCTGCAGAGTTTGTTCGGGGCAGACGGTCTCAAGCTCGGGAGTGCCTCTCAGTCGGAGGCGCCACCTAAACCCATCAGCGTGCATGGTGCTGGGCGCGCCTTCGGCGTAACGTGCAGGGCCTGATCACTGGCTCACATGCTTGAGGCGGGCCAGGCGGGCTTCGACGCTTTGCTTGGGATTCGCATGGCTTGATATGGCTTGACAGAAGGTGCTGGGTATGCCTTGAGGCCTTGAGAAGGACAAGGTCAGATGGACTGGGGCATGGCACCACCATTAAGGCACAGCCCTCAAGACTCTCGCTGGAACTCTGAACACGGCTATGGTTCCTTCCCCGTGCGCACTGAGCAACTCGCGCCAAGCCCCCCCCCCCAGGCGCCACAACGGGAGCAGAATTGCAGAAGCTGCTTGCAGAACACCGCTGCATACCGCTGCTCTGCAGTCCCGGTTCCGGGCGCTCTGAGGCGCCCGCCCCGCTGTTGCCATGCACGCGGCCATCGAAGCCCGTCGCAGCGCCCCAGTACCTGAGGAAAGCGCTGAGGGCGGAGCCCCTTTGTTGGGCTTCAGGGTCGGCTTTGGGGGATTTGGGTTATTTTTGTCTATGTCTTTGGCTTTGCGATCTTTCGGGGGACTCCAGTGCTGAGAGCTTCATGCCGGGATCGGAGTTGAGACTGGTCAGGGGGGGGGGGGTTGCTTGGGTTCAGGCGCTAACAGTACAGAGTGCTCGCCCATCAGCCGCAGCCTTCAAGCCAGCAACGACCAGCTAACGAGGGCCTCTTGAAACCAAGAGGCTGATGAGGCTCCTTGACTAGGAAGAGGTCCCGGTTCGAGGCGACGCCACCACAGAGGTCCCTGCCTGTGCGCCAGGGTCTTCACAGGGTCTTCACAGGCTCTTCACCAACTTTTTCGTAGGCAGAGAGGGGCCACAAGGCGTGAGTTTTGCCGTGTGTTCTTAAGACGTGACCTATAGCTGTCCAAGAGGCAGCTCGGCGCATTGTGGAAGGCCCCGTCCAGAAGGTCTGCCTACGAAGGACTTGTCATGCAAAGCTGCAGATTGCCTGTGGGCCTATGGGGGTCAGGCTACAGAAGCCGTTATGAGACGAGCACTAAACAAAGGGAAAAATGTTTGCCCCTTTGTTTAGTAGGAAAGTCTTTTCCCCTTTCTTTAGTAACTTTAGTAGTTCCAGTGCCTTGTAATTGTGCTCCTCGTAAAAGCCTCAGTGCGCTTCGCCCGACTGGGATGCACCACCACTACTGCGACGCAGCATGCGCGTGCCCCGACACTTGGATCCCCGGAGACGACAAAGGACGCGGGCCTAGAAATGAGCACGAACCCGGAGAATCTGAGGAGCATCAAGCACGGGTAGAGAAAAGAATACCTGCCCTGGAAAGCACGAGGTGCACCAGAGCAATTGCAAGGCGCGCGATGCATGCTTGTACATGCACCCTTCGTCACATCCTCTCACGGCCACGTAACGGCGCCCAACCGAGGACAAGATGTAGAGGCCGGAGAAGCCCTTCTGCCTAAGTCCGATAGGACAGGCTCAAAGCATAACCACTTCTTACCAAACGTCTTTGACAGGTGCATCTTGGCACTCTCAGTTGTCGGGCAAGAGTCAGCACAGGGGAGTGATTCTTCTTGACAGGGCCTCAAGCCCCAAAGGCCTCCCACTTTCCCAGAGACTTCTCCAGAGGTCACATTGGCAGCGCCGAGCCACAGCGCCATGCTTCGCCAGACCTTCAGCATGGGCTCCAGCTTCCTGGAACTTGGAGTTGGGGAAACGGTTCATCAGGGTCTTGAAGGTGTCGGCGTATCTCAAAGAGGGTGCGGCTACTGCAGGTGTTGGTGGCTGAAGGGGCGAAGCCCTGAATCCCCCCCAAGCTTGTGCCCAGGCGCCCCTCAAGCAGCTGCGGCCGGAGGATGGCAAAGATCGGCTTGTTGTCGATCTTCCTTCATTGGGAAGGTGAGAAGGTGGATTCTCCGGGGCACTCTTGCTAGCAGAGACCCTAGCAGCTCTAGCAGATCTGGCATCCCCCCAAAGGCCCGGGAGCCGCTTTTCCCCTTAGTGAAGCCAAGACACATGTAGCGATGGTCCTTGAAGTACCTGAGTCTTGCGCTCCGTGAGGCGGAGTTCGTTTTTGCCAACTCCGAGGCCCCCCCCCCAAAAAAAAAAAGTTCTCCAAGGGCGGCTCCTGGAGAGCTTATAAGACCCCTTTCAAAAGCTTGTTTTAAGAGGCCGGCAGTCCCCACCCCGTCATGAGAAAACGCACTTGCAGGCCCTGTCACTGCACCAGGTGCTCGAAGTGCTCCTCCCAGGCCTCACGGTCGCCGTACCTTGGAGGCATTGGAGCTCGCAACAAACGGCCCTTGAATGCCTCATAGGGTCCGTTTCCATGCCGAGTCTAAAGGCCGGGGCCAGAGCGCTTCTCGATTTGAGGGGGGCTTGGGTCCAGAGGGGCTTCCTTTTCTTTTGGAGCCATGGCCATGGCAGTATCTTGCCCTTCTAAGCCACACCCTCCCCACCCTCAGCGGCCGAAACATCCTTTCGCCCCCGGCTCTCCTGGATGCATGTGCTGTGAAAAACCACTGTAGGTCGCGGGATCTGCGCTAGAACCGCTCCACGTGGTACGTGCAAGCCTTCGCACCTTCGGTGTCGAGAGACCCGTTAAAAAAGCCATGTCCGGGCGGCAAGTCCGTGCTCAATCGCTGCACGATTTGCTGGCACTGCTTCTGCAGGTGCCTTGCTTCTAGCTCTCTCTCCCAGAAGCTCGTGCACAAAGCTTGGACTTGGAGCTGGAGCGGATCCGGGCCACCCGAACTGGGCTTCGCCACTTCTAGAGTTTGGGGAGCTACGACGTCCTCGAGCGCGCTGTGCGCTATGGCCTCTGCTCTGGCCAAGAGCACCTGCAACTTTGAGTGGCTCGTTGCCAAGGAAGACAGCCTCGCAGCTTCCGGCTCCAAGGCGCCTCTGGGCACCGGTGGTCGGCTCCAGGATGTGCTGACACTTCGGCTGAAGTGCTTGAAGCCGCTGCTTTGCGTGTCGGGCCCTTGAGCTGCGCCAGCTTCCTTGGGCAGCAGAGCTTGCAGCATTGCTGTGTGTTCCTGCAAGACCATCAAGACATCCTCCTGTAGGATCTTGCGGACTTCCATGACAGAGAACTTTATCAGAGACTGCATAATGACCGGGTCCCGCTTGAAGAAGCTGCTGATGCTCTGGCAGAAGTCCAAATATGAAACTTCTTGAGTATCACTGTCGGCCATAACATTGAAGACGGTCTCCATATCTTCCCTCTTCATGTCCATGACTTGCATCAGCTTTGCAAACTCGTCAACATCGTCATAGCCTTCCTGCATCTCTATCAGGGAGATCAGCCCGTTGTTGTTGACGTCCATGGTTGCGCAAAGCCTTGCAAGGTCTTCCATGCTCCGTGCTCGCTGGTTCTCCTTCTGCTTGATCTTTTCCTCATGATCGTTCTCACGGGCTTCTGCGGCTCTTTCAACGATCACCTGATGATGGAGGAATGCTTAGAGACTTAACCTACTACCTGGCCTACCACCACGGGCACAAGGAAACGCAAGTATGGGAACTAGTGGAAAAGTGCGCAGCTAACTTTTTCTGCAGGCACTGCCAAAATCAGGTTCAGGAGTCCCAAGGTGATTGTCATCATCATCCCGAAGAGAACCACCATTGTCCAGGGTGCCTCTTCCACCAGTTGCAGGTTGATTGTTCCCCAAGAGTCGCCAGCTACCAGCTGCTGGAACAAAGTAAGGCCAGCTTGAAACACAGTGCTGAATCCGCGCGGGCACCTCTTACAATTCAGGTAGTATTCTTCCAGCGTGGACGTGATGGGATGAAGAAGCTGCACAGCAATTACGGCCCAAACGACAATCATGGCAATCAGCAGCAGGGAGCCAAAAAGAATGGCTTTGATCGAAGAGTAAAGGCCGTTGATAAGCAGGTAAAACTCAGGAATGGAAATCAGCAAGCGAACTGCCCTAGAGACGCGAATCAACCTGGACATTCTCAGCAAGTTGACGCTGACTACGTCTGCAAAGGCAAAATCGAACCAGCCGCTAAGTACAATGAGTAAATCTAGCAGATTCCATCGGTTCCACCAGAAGAGAGATTGCTCCGCATAAAGGCGGACCAGGCATTCCAGGGAGTAGAGCAAGAGTATTCCCAAATTCATGGCAGGAATCCACCCCACGGTGTCACTGCGCGTAGGGCAGCTTGAGAAGTCCGATACATACTCGGGAAAGCATGTTGCATCGACATCCGTTTCGTACCAGATGAGCACCAAGTTGCCGAGAATCAGGGCACCCATGACCATCTCAAAGGCCTGCGAGAACACCAGCTTGGCGAGCTGGATTCGAACCCACGGCCAGATGACATTACCTTGGGCATCCTCCCATGGCTTGGCCGAGTACCCATGATAGCGCAGACTCCTTAGCTGCGTCATCGTGTCATCCAGGTGGTGCTGGTTCTTCACTTGCATGGAGTCGCTTCGCAAGCCCGCTGACTTCGACGATATGCGCGGGGACATGGCCATGGCTGCGGCTATTTTAATCTTCCAACATGTAGACCAGCTCGGGAGAGAGGCATGGGCCGGTGAAGAGCCAGTTTGTCGCGCGCAGGTTCTGGGAATAAGACGTGGTTAAAGTACATCTGGGCAGAGCTGCTTCTCATTTGCCGCTACGAAGATGAAGCATGAGCCCTCTTAGACCTCAGGTCCTCCGGTTAAGGCCTCGAACACCTCCACACAGCTCAGGTCAGTGGAACTCAACTTCATGCTTTGCAAGGCCGGGGCGTCTGTGGGATGAGCACATCCTGGCATGACAGAAAAACTGACTCGCACGCTGTCTCAGAAGGCAAAAGCCCCTTTTGGGCGGCTCAAAAGTCTTTCAACGTACAAATGCCCAACAATGCCCAACAATGCCCAGCATGTCACAACCACGACGTGCCCCACTGCATGGGGGACACATGAGGATTCTAAAGATGCCGTGCATGGGGCATCTCCCGCCTCGCCGGCCTGGCCCGAGAACTTCCGAGTCCAAGGCTCGTTGGCCCACGTGAAGAAATAGGGCAGATTGGGCTGCCCATCGTGGAGCACCTTCTCTTCTGTTGTGTTCCGCGTTATGATTCTGTTCGCTGCTTAGAAGCTTCGTTGCCTTGTCTAGAGCTCACCAGCAAAGGAACTAGAGAATCACGAACTCTCCCAAGCTCCGTTTGCATTTTCACGGCTGTATCGACAAGCGAGCACAAAACAGTGTTGTGCATCCGCGACTTTCGGCCAGCAATATCCCCGAAACCGAACGCCCCGCCTGGTAAGGCACCTTCCACATGACCTGGGCAACAAGCAAAACGCTCACAGTATCTCACAGTTTTTTGGGGATTCTGCGCGCACGGATTGTCACAAGGGTGTGGAAGGGCGGCTCAACGAAGTCTTGCGCATGCGAGAACTGGAGGCCGACCTCCATGTCCCCTCCGTCCCTAAGGCCACAGAAGGACTTGTGTGCTTGTATGCTATTAATGTTGCTTGCGTATGCTGCGTCTAATCTAGATCACGGCCCAAAGCCCCCCTCGACCCTCAATACGAATGGTGGCAAGCAACGCTCTTGTTGTGGCCACCCTCACCGCCGAACCTTGGAAAGCGAGGGTCACATCAAAGGTATCATTATGGCATGTGGGGGAAAATGCTTGGGGGGCTTTCTCTCCTGAACCCCAACAGCATATTTTTCAGCTAAACATCCGACCCACGAGTTTCTGATGACTTAAGCAACTTCGCCTGCGTCAAACAGGAACACATGGTGTGCTTGCCGCAGGAGATCGCTATAGCTGTCGGTCGAACAGTGATACCTACCACACCGCCCTTCACGATGTAGCGATTCCTGAAGAGTGAAAACTCGATGTTGGCAGTCCGGGGCTACCAAGGCCATTGCAGCTGCAACTGCGTCCCGCCCATGCATGCGCCGCATGGTCTGTTGCGTCGAAGGGCCCATCGTTTTCGTCACGGTTGGCCCTTGCCTTGAGGCTCCCGCATTTTCGAATGTAGAACGCTCTGAAGCATGGCATATTCAGCGTAGTCCACGAAGCTTTGCATCTCATGTCCCACGCGGCGCGGACGCGGGGCCACAGGAGAAGCACGCATGGATACGGCCACACGATGCTTTGCAGACACCGTCGTGAAAGAGTGCCCTCTGCCAAGCTCCAAGCATCAATGACCCCTACTGAACCACCTGAAGACCTTAAACCTGTCTGGCCGCGGGAGTCATATCATCTCAACTGCAGCCCAGCATCCAGTAGTGGTAGTACGAGAAACCATGGACCTGGCGTGGGCTTTTTGCCAAGAGGGGCCCCCAAATTGCAGATCAAGCCTGCCAAAAGGGAACTGCCATGCCAGCAAGTTCTCTCTCAAATCATTCAAATCGCTCCGTGATTCCTGGGGATTGGGGATGCGCATGAAGGATGGAGAAACATCCAACTTTTCAGTCACGACAACCTCCAAGCCGCCACAATCACATGATTTTGCAGAAGCCCTGAACCTGAAGAGATAATTGAAGCATTCAGATGCCCACTACAGGCCCTCCACTCCACATCCACATGCTCCCTTGCATTCGTGCAGAGAGGTCGGCGCAGAACTCTCTCCCTCTCTCTCCCTCTCTCCCCCTCCCTCTGCCGAGCCACGCCGTGCTGCTTGGCGAGGTTCGCCTGGCGGCTCCTGACCTGGCGCTTCATCAGGTCGTAGAAGCCCAGTCCTGCGGAGGCTTCAGGAAGGGTTCAGTGCCTGCAGGTTGGCCTCTAAGGCTTCAGAAAGAGGCTTCTGGAAGGCCAAAAGCAACAAACACAAAGCAGGTGCGGGAACGGGTGCAGAGCCCCCTCAGAGCGAAGTGTGAAGAGAGGGTTCAGGAGGCGAGGGATCCTGCTACAAACGAGGGCCTCTTGCGCTTGCTGGTCACCAAGAGTGCTCCGTGCGCCCAAGCCCCGAAGTTACTTTCCAACCCCTCCATGAGCTCCTCCACGCTCCTCACTCAGAGGCTTCCGGAGCCCCTGGCCTGCGGTGGAAGCTTGTGGATTTAGGGCTCAGGGACGCTCATTCTGGGGCTTCGGGCAGATGTTACCATTCTCGGGATTCAATGCTACTACCTTTCCACTACCTCCGCTGCCGCTACCTCGAGCAGCTTGGCAAGTGATAGCCGCGGGCATTCCAGGATCCCGGCCTTTGAAGTCCTCCAGAGCCTTCCAGTCCTCCGCAGGCGCTTGGTGTGCCAGTGCCGAGGCTTAAGGAGATGAAGAGGTCCCAAGGTTGCGAGGTTGCGAAGGCACGCTGCGGTGGAGGAAGCAGGTCTCGCGACATGTGAGAAGAGCAAGTACCTTACCTCCCGAATCTGCCCTGCAGCCACTCCCTTAGTTCAATCCCTGTCCGTGTAGCCATCTCCGAAGAACTTCTCCAGCTCAGGCACTTGGTGGAACTGCGGGTAGTACATGGCCTCATCTGGCAGAGCTTTCGCTCAGGCTCCCCTGGCTGCGTGGCAGCTGCTCACGCGTTTTTGTTGGCCAGGCTTCTGAACTGACATCTGACACGTTTAGGGTTTAAGGTTTCGGGGTTCGGGCTTCTGCTTCCCTTGCCGAGTCGCAATCACCTTGGGTGCGGAAGGCATCGTGGCCAGGCCGCGACCCCGAAGGCGCAGCGCCGTAGTCTCGGCAGAGCGATGGCTCGGAACCCACGAAGCATCCGGTTAACAACGGGTGGTGCCTCAAGTACCAAAATGTTACCAAAAGCCTCACACCCCTGGAGTCCTAACACACTCCTGACATCTCCTGACCGAATTTTGGCGAAGAACCTTCTGGCCGTGTTTTGCAAAGCCTGAGTAGTTCACAACCCGGTCAAAAGGTCTGGGGCTCTCGCCACGAAGCATTCCAATGCCAGCTCCAGAGAGCCTCGGATCACGCTGCGCAACTCGCTGATCAAGTTGATTCACTTGGATGGGGAGGAAAAAATGCCTCAACTTCAGAAAGCAGCTGGGGCGCCAAGGCAAGTCTCGTAGCATCAGAGGCGCGTGCACTGCTGACTTGCGGGGAATTCCCCGAGTCCGAGAACAATCTCAACGAAACCTCTCTCCTGACGATTCCAGCACAGGCACTCCCGGTCTTCCATCCTCCATTAGAATCATTAAAAACATTAGAATCATGAAAATCATTGGAATCATTCGAATCATTAAAATCATTAGAATCATTGGAATCATTAAAATAATTTTCAATCATTAAAATCATGAGAATCATTGGAATCATGAAAATCATTAGAATCATTGGAATCATTAGAATCATTCGAACTGTACTCTGACGTGCGGGGGCTCCCTCGTCTTTGCGGGCGAAGGCGCGAGCTTCCTCGTCGCGCCTCTGAATCCTGCGGAGAACCGAGTGGACGAAAGCGTTACATGTGCTCTCACATACAAAGCGCCACACTCTTTCTGTGCACCAGCTTCCGAGGTTTCGTTGTGCACATGGACTATTTTACGAGTTCGGGTGAAGCGTCAAATATGGCCGCAAACCTGGAGGCAGAGTGCTCTATCATACTAAGGAGTGAATCCCAAAACCCTACAACCCTCATCCCCAAATCCCAAAGACCCCCCAACCCCCCTTCTCGGAGCCATCTTTAACCCCACATCCCTCAACCCTACAACCATCAAACCCTACGCGCCCAAACACCAACAGCCTTCAAAGCACTGACAGCTTGAAACCCTGCAGCCCTAGATCCCCGAGCCGCCCGAAACTTTGTCCTGAAACTTCTTCAGCTCCTCAAACCCTCCAAGCCCCCGATCAAGCCCCAGAAACCTCAGAAACCCCCCCAAAACCTTCAAACCCTTAACCCTGAAACCCTAAACCCACAGCCCGAGTGACCCTGAACACCAATTGCGATACCCGGAGATTGCAGTACATCATCATTGCTTGACTCATCATGTCCAGAAGCTTTCCGAATCACGCAGAGTGTTCTATCACACGAAGACCTGAATTGACAGACTTGTTGGACTTGCTAGCGCTTTCGAGCGTTGGCAGTCTCCCCGGACAAATGAGCTCGAGGATGATATCAAGTCAGGCTCATGAAAGCTGAGGCCCTCACACTTACCGCTGCCACGCAGAATGACAGCCCGAATTTGCGATACATCACCCGGTTTCTGAGCTTCTGAGGACGCTGATCTAGGTCCTAGGCCACAGTTGATCACAGTTAATGGAGCCATCCTGCTCAATCCTCACACCCTAAATCCCATAAAACCTTCAAACCCCAAACCACACAGCCCTGAACCCTCAAACCCTGAAGCCTCCAACCCTTCCCTACCCCCCCCCCCCGCCCCCGCCCCTATTCAAGGGCTTCGGGCTTCGGATGGTTGAGGTTTAGGGTTTCTTGGGTGTTTGGGATTCAGGGTTCCCTCCCCCACCCCCCCCCCCCACGCCCCCCGCTCAGTCAGGGGGGCAAGCCGCGGGATGGCGGCGACCTGGGTCGGAGGAAGGCTCTTCGGGGTTCAGGCGGCCGGGGGCTTTCGGAACCCTGGGATCTTCCCGTTTTTTGCTGGCGTGGCGTCAGTCCTTTGTTCAGCTGAGGGTTTGGAGGCACGTGCTGTCAGGAGTCGCAAGGCATCAGCGCAAAGGATGTATCCCAATGCAACAGTGGCAACGGCACTTCCGGGCGGGTTCAGCGCCCACACAAAGCACTGGCACAGCTCAAGAAACCCTAAAACCCTCAAACCCTCAAACCCTCAAACCCTCAAACCCTCAAACCCTAAACCCTAAACCCTAAACCCTAAACCCTACACCCTAAACCCTAAACCCTAAACCCTGAACCCTAAACCCTGAACCCTAAACCCTAAGCCCTACCATCCGAAACCCGAAAATCTCAGGGCCCCGGGCTGCGGTTTTCAGCGGCTCTGCCTGGCGTCGGAGCCAGAAGCTGCCGCCAGCCACGTAGGTGGCCAAGTCCTTCGCTGCGCTCAGGAGCAGTTCTGGGTTTAGGGTTTAGGGTTTAGGGTTTAGGGTTTAGGGTTTAGGGCTTAGGGTTTAGGGTTTAGGGTTTAGGGTTTAGGGTTTAGGGTTTAGGGTTTAGGGTTTAGGGTTTTAGGGTTTATTGTTTAGGGTTTTAGGGTTTAGGGTTTTGGGTTTTGGGTTAGCTGGCATAGCTGGCATGGCCCCTTGTAATTTGAAGCTTGGGGTTGTCAGCGGCTGCCCGCCGGGCGCCGCAAGACTTGAGATTGCAGGGTCTGGATGCACTTGTCATGTCATGTTGAAGCAGTTGTAACGGAGCACGCGATTCAAGAAGTTCTGAAACCTGAATCAAGTGCCTGGACCAGGGAAGAGGCAAGAGAAGAAGCGTAAACTGCTCCAGCAAGCACAGCAGCAGAGCGAATCCTCGGCTTCGTTCAGGCCAACGTTGCCGGTGTTCATCAGCAGAAGCGAGCGTACGCCTTGACACTGCCGCGATAGAAAGTGATGAGATTCTGGGGGGGAACCCCCCACGTCACGAAATATATGCGCTTCTAAGCTCGGGGGGCTCCGGGATGTTTTCTCAGGAGGGTTTGCTTAATGACTGACATAAAGGAAGAAACAACTAGCTACCTGTCGTGCGGCGAGTTCCTTTGTCATGCCATTCGTATCTGTCTTCGCACAGAATGGATTTGCAAGCTTTCGAGTTTGCCTTATTTCGGTAAATACTGGTATGCACTTCCAAACTGCCGCACCCACAAGAATCAAAAAAAAGCCGAGGCAAAAATCGCCGGCCTTTGGCGCTGCCAGCGCTGGGCCCCGCCCAGCTACGGTTGCCTGTGGCTATCTTGGGGAGGTTCAGTTTATTAAACCCCTTTGGGGGTTTATGAAATTAAGCGTACCCTTCCTGGCGTCCTTCTTATAAGGGAATCTTACTATTTGGGGTCTTTTACAGGGGTCCCTTATTTTCGCAACGTAGAAACGACGGTACTGGCAGGACTCTTGGGATTTCCTGATCCCGAAGCCCTGGGATTCCAACATCAACGCCTGACCAAAAACACCCCGAGAACACCCAAAGCCCAACGTCCTCAAACGCTAACAATATGCCGGCAATCCTGAACAACAGTATATATATATGTATATGTTTTTGTATATATATATATATATATATATATACATATATAAATATGTATATATATATATACACGAAGGACCAAAAGACAAAAAGCCCAGCACACCGGGGCCGGCGCCCAGGACCTTGTTGAAGACAGCGGGGGCCAGGTGCTTGGAGCTGGTCTTCCGGTCCACAATGGTGCCTGCAGCGTGGGATGGCTTCTGGGGTTTAGGGTTTAGGGTTTAGGGTTTAGGGTTTAGGGTTTAGGGTTTAGGGTTTTAGGTTTTAAGGTTTTAGGGTTTCAGGGTTTAGGGGGATCAGGATCCAGCTCACTATGGCCGACTCCTTGGAAGCACGATCGTGGGAGTATCCCGCCCTTGTCAAGCCCATCGCTTGGCCAACGAAATCCAGCGGCATGAGGCCATCGCCAGTCCTACTAAGGTTTCGCACCACTTGCCTCTGACCCCCCTCTTCTTTGGAATTTTCTGGCCACCACTCCTCTCAGAGCTGACCCAACCTTCTGGGACTTGGGTTGCGCCACTCCCTACTCGTTGTAGTTGCGCGAACTTTTGGCCAGTTATCCACAAACTGCTTGCTTCGCCCGCTCAATGTTGCTAAGCATCTCACCGGCCTAAACTCGAACCTCATTGGAGATCCCTTGAAGACCTTGCAGCCCCTGGCCCTAACCGCTCTCACCTCACCGCAAGAAGTCCCCCCAATTCTTGACCCCCTGCGCAGAAGGCCTGCAGGAGCGATCAGGTCGAGGGACGGCCTCGCTTCGCAACAGCTGCTTGAAGCTTTGCTTCAGGCCTAGAAGTATGGAGTTGCCCGAATCGCAACAGCCCCAAAGATCAGTGCCCCCCCCCCCCCACGGAGGAACCCCTGGCCGCCACCTCTCCTCCCATCCTCCCAGCCTGTCAGCAAAGGCGTTCAGCACCGACCGCACGTGGAAGCGCGTGCCACACAGCGCCTGGCTTGGAGTCCCACCAAGTAAGGTCTGAGGCTCGAACACTTTCATCATATGTCTCGAGGTGGGGGCTCAAAGATGCTGGAATCCCGTCAGAAGGCCCCAAAATGACGCGCACAAGAGACCCCGAAAGGCCCCGCCGCGACCTGGGAGGCGAGCTGTTGAACATCGTCCCGGGGAGATACACGGAGTTTCCTTAGCCGAAGGCGGATCTCAGTCATCTTTTTGGTGCGAATCACGGGTCTTGACCGTCTTCACCGGCACGTAACCCACGTAACGAACTGCTCCCCATCTTCCCTACGTCATTGGTGCATTCCTGCTCTGCCAACTGAAACAAGCTGCGGCCTGTAGCTCGGCTTCTTTCCGTACCATTTGCACGTGATGCTAGCATCTGCAAGAACAACAAATTGCATAACACAAGAATACACATACACATATATGTATATACACGTACATACTTTTATACCTCCCCCAGCCGATGTCTTTCGAGACTTCTTCGCCCAGCGCTGGGCAGCGCCCCTGAAACCCACAATGTCTGCGGTGCTTCTTCGGGGCGTGGGGGGGGGGGGGGGGGGGCGGCGCCTGAGACGGTCGATGTATGGGTCGGAGTTGAAATGGGCATGTTGCGACTGCTCTCCTTTGGACTCCGCCCCGACGCAGGGAAAAAAGCAAGGAGCGGACGCAGACAGACAGAGAGAGAGAGAGAAGTACAACACTTTTGCATCGGAGGAGCAGAACGATGTCATAGTCCACACCCCCGCGTGTGGCGGAGTCCAACTGCATCAAGAACCTGCCAAGAAGGGGATCAACAACGCTCCACGATGCCTCAAGTAACTCAAGGACACATACTACACATACTCTGGATGTCCGGGATACCCTGTCTGATGTACCCTCTTTTGCAGCACTTGAGATGAAAAGAGCAGCTGTCAAGAGCACTCTAGGCCGAGGAGCTGGGGCATGTCGGCTGCGGCGCCGGCCGAGTTCGTGACGAAAATGTTGGCCTCTCTCGCGTGCAACACAGTGCTGGCGTTAACAGATGCTGTTTGTTTTGTAGGGAAGGGGCTTCACGGCTCTTTTTCCGGGGCTGCGGTGTTCAGAAGGAGCTTTTGGGGGCACTGCGATGTCGAAGAGCAAACATTCCCCCGAAAACTCCCCGGGCCTTGCTGTGCTTGCCCTGAACGTAGCCGAGCCTCATAAGATACGAGATGGCGCGTACAGTGTGGACTTCGGGGGCATTGGCTGACTTGAGTTGAGGCTGAGCTGCAGCCATAAGAACAGAAATCTGCACCGTCGGTCCCTGCTTTTTCTGAGTGGGGTCCTGATAAAATTCCCGAACGGGATGTGAGAGATCCCTGCAACAGAGCTGCATTTGGCCAGGACCCTCAAACGAAACTGAGCCCCTGGCAGCTCCTCCACTTCATCCTGAAAAACTTTGTTTAGCACAGGAGTTGGGAGATCAAAGGGCGCACAGGTTTCCTACTGGTGGCTCGGAGTTGAGGTGATTCTGGCAAGCGCTCAGAAGACGGACCGGACTTGCCTGCAGCCTCCCTCCGCCTCACCTCCGAGTTCGTGACTGAACTCAGGTTGATTTGAAGTCCCATCTCTCGTGCCGAGGCTCATCAGAGGGCGCGGTGCCGTTCACGAAGTTCAGGTGCACCTGGCTGGTTGAAGACTTAGGGACCCAGCAAACGCGACCAACGAGCCTTGAAGGGAGGGCCTCTGGAGAGCGAACACAGCCCCTTCCATGCAAAACATATACCCCCCCAACCCCCCCCCCCCAATTTATCCCACAAACGGGAAAACTCCATGAAGACTACCCGCAAGCGTGATTTGCCGGCTCCCGTTGGCTCGTCGGTGGCAGAAAGTACCTGCAGAGCATCGGTGTGCCAAAGGGGGTTCAGGCTGCACGGACCTGTAATTCTAGGTTCGGGGTAAGAGGGAAGCAGATGGCCAGTTTACAGTTTTGAAGAGGAATGCGCGTGTGGTCCCTGAGGTGTGCTGGCCTCCTCAAGGCAGTGCGAGATCTGTGAGGCCCAGTCGTGGTGGCCAATCCTCAACTGGTGTACTTCGTCTTCCAAAAAAAGATGTCCGCGAACTACAAAAGGCCCCCCCCCCCCCTTCTGTGCATTGCTTCCCTGGCATGCAACGGCCGTGTTCCTTCTTCTACAGCACCATCCTTTCCCCAAAACAACGCCCAGCAAATACCCCTGACATCCATTTCGAGGCAAAGCCACTGAACGAACAGACCCAGGCGGGCGTTCCTGGCCGAGAGGTTAGAGCTGCTCCAGGGGCTTCCAGCAACCCCAAACCCCTGTCGCACAACGAAGCTCAGCATGCGGAAGCTTCAGAAGACTCTGAAGACTCCCACCTGGCTCGCAGGACATAGCGACGGACTTCGGCGAGGCGGACCTCACCTTGGCCGAAGAAGCTGAAACAGATGCTTGGGGACGTTTGGGGGCCTCCCTGGGGCTATCTGGTTCATTTGGGATCATGCAGGCCTTGAGAGAGAGCGAGAGAGAGCGAGAGAGAGAGAGAGAGAGAGAGAGAGAGAGAAAGAGAGAGTGCCTTAGGGTTCTGTGCACCAAGGCATGCAAAGCACCCAGCCTATCACCTGCAGACGTGGGCTCCCGTCGTGTACGACGAAAGAACAGACAGGACTTCGGTTGAGTTCGATTTAATTACACGGACACGTGCTACTACCTGAATTTGAAACCCTAAACCCTAAAACCCTAAAACCCTAAAAGCCTAAAACCCTAAAAGCCTAAAACGCTAAAACCCTGAAACCCTAAAACCCTAAAACCCTAAAACCCTAAAGCCCTAAAGCCCTAAAACCCTAAACCCTAAAACCCTAAAACCCTAAACCCTAAAACCCCTAAAACCCCTCAACCCCTCAAAGAAGACCTGAAAGGGTTTAGGGTTTAGGGTTTAGGGATTTAGGGTTTAGGGTTTAGGGTTTAGGGTTTAGGGTTTAGGGTTTAGGGTTTAGGGTTTAGGGTTAGGGTTTAGGGTTTAGAGGCCCTGCGCCTTCTTCGCGATGCTCCAGCAGCGTCGCTGCTTCCGGGACCTGCGCGTCGACCTGCAGAGGTTTCGGCTCGATGTAGGGTTTAGGGTTTAGGGTTTAGGGTTTAGGGTTTAGGGTTTAGGGTTTAGGGTTTAGGGTTTAGGATTTAGGGTTTAGGGTTTAGGGTTCATGGTCCAGGGTCTAGGTCAGGGTTTAGGGTTTAGGACCACTTGGGACTCCGTTAGGGGCTCAGGAGCTTTGGGAGCTTTGGGAGGTTTGGGAGTGTTAGGAGCCTTAGGAGCTATAGGACCAACTTTAAGAGCCTTAGGAGCTTGAGGTTCGGAGCTTTGGGAATTACAACAGCAGCCTTGGAAGGGGCTGTATAGAAACCCAAGGCTGCTTAAAGAAGCCGAGCTTCCAGGACCAGCCCACAGATCAGCGAGCACAGCGTGGCCTGAAGTGCGGGGTTGAGAGGTCCGTTGCATCCCCTGTCTGCTCGGGAAAGTCTGTAGGGGCCAAAGATGGAGTATGGAGTGGCTTCTGTCATGTAAGAGCCATCCACCCCAAACCCTAAACCCTAAACCCTAAACCCTAAAAAAATAGCCTGGAATCCGCCGACGCGAGACACCCAGCAGCCCAAACTCTCCCCCCCCGAGGCCCCCGGGCGAATGGAAACATTCGGTTCATGGCAAGGCCATGCCTCAGCTTGCCGAGACCCAGGCTTGGGCGCTTGGGGCTCAGTGGGTGTCTGAGGGTTTGGGGGGTTTGGGGGGTTTTTTGAGGGGTTTTGGGGGGCTTTTTGGGGGTGATTTTGGGGGTGAAAAGGGGCGTCAAGATTCTGTATAACTCGCTGCTTGCGGGCTGACGGCTTCGCGCATGGCCCTGAACGAGTTGGTATTCTCGCGAAGGTACTAGACACCACAAACCCTCGCTTGCTCATCCCGTGTCAAGCCTCCTGGAACCTGGACAGATAGACCACTCGCCAACCGGGCTCATCGTTCCCAACTTCAAATCAATAAATCACGTAGAGATACTTTCAAGATGAAACCTGCAAACCAACTGTTTCCAAGACACAGGGATGGGGCAGTCATCTTAGATGCGAAGTTCTCGGTTAAAAGGCCCCCTTTTCTATAAAAAACTGACCCTTCGAGCCAGTGCTTGCGGAACGGGCTCTGATAGGCTCTGACGGCTCCAAGCCGATGCCGCGTCTTGGACATCCCTCGCTCCCTCTCTAGTGCGCATCTTGCCACATGGGGCAACCCTCAACCCAATGAATGATCCGATTCCTGAAGCTGCCAGGGGCGTGCACCCTCTACCCTTGCTGTCAGACTCGCATCCCACGCATGCCAGTCCGTTTTGTCGAGCAATCCTTTGCGCAATAGACAGCAAGCCTCCTCGGTAAGCCCAAACGATTAGAAAATGCGGACTACGGATGTTCAACTCCGTTCAACAGCCCAAACCCATCCGGTCTCCTCCCTCCTGGCACATCATCCTACGTTCAGCACTCGAGGAAGACTTGTCTGGCCAGCGTCTGCAGCTTTAAAATTCAAGGGCTGTCTCCAAATAAGTTGCCTGAGGACGATTTGGGAGATCAGAGGGTGCAAAGCCACTTTGATCCCATCGCAGAGTGTAAGGTGTAAGGACAAAGAGGGACCCCAATTTTGAGACGGCCCTTTGTTCAGTGGAGCTTTCGCTGCCACAATTAACAGACAGATCGAGCTCCGATGCTCTCTGAAAATCAAATTGAATCCTTCGCGGCGGGTTTCTCCTTCTGCCCCTGTAAAGAACCCCGGATGATTCTGCGACGTTATACGAACTTAAAGGTGAAAACTCCACGTCCCTCCTCGTTCCGAGTGGCTCTCCGAACCTGCCTATGACCCGATCCACGAAGTCCTAATGCCCAGGGTGGCCCATCCGGCTCAGCGCGCTGCTTTGCAGCTCCACTGTTTCCCAAAGACACGGCCTCTTTCAGGCTTGAGGGCAGGAAGGGTCTTCAAGCTTCCAGGTTGAGATGGTTGAGTCTGGGGCTTTTTGGGCTTTAGGGGTCTCACGCCTTGTGGCATGCTCTGTTGCCTTGAGAGGCTTGGGGTATCTTGGGGTGATGTTCCCAGCAGAATCCCCACACGCTTTGCCGTCCCACCTTTGCCTGATCCTGCACGGCCTCACTTCGCAAAAACCCAACAATCGACTCAAACACCTCAAAGACCTGAAAGATCTCGGACATGCAGCCAAACTCAATGTGGCGTGGGACGCGCGCAGATTTCACAGAGCTCTGAGGATAATCGGGAGGTTACTGTAAGGCGATTTCGGGCTCTAAGACTTCAACCCCAGTGAGACAGCAGCCAGCCATGTCTAACCACACTCCATGACAACAACGACCCAACCCCAAGGTCCGAATCCACAAGCCATCAATCACGCGGCCTTAAATGGGCACGTAGTTCCAGTCCCAATCGCCCGGCTCAGCCTGGGAGTTGGCGCTTCGGGACTCAGCATTCTGACAAGCTATGAAAACGAACCAAACTTTCGACTTGCACATTGCAAAAGATGCAGCCAGTGCCTGATCGTCGTCATCACGACCTCCATTGCCCCCACCATTGCCACCGCCGTTGCCACCGCCATTGCCACCGCCATTGCCACCGCCATTGCCATCATCAGTGCCATTCCCACCGCCATTGCCGCCGCCATTGCCATCATCAGTGCCACCGCCGTTGCCTCCGCGGTCGTCTCGATCATCGTCACCACCTCCACGGCCATCATCTCGACCTGCCCGGCGATCGTCATCGCCTCGGCGGCCGTCGTCTCGACCTCCTCGACGGTCGTCATCGCCTCGACGGCCGTCATCCCGGGCGTCATCGCCTCCGCTACGATCATCCCGCCCTCCTCCTCCTCCTCGGCGGTCGTCATCGCCTCCTCGGCGATCGTCATCGCCTCGGCCCCGACCCCGACCATCGTCTCCACCTCCTCGGCGGTCGTCGTTGCCCCGGCGGCCGTCATCAACGCGACCATCGTCTCGACCTCCCCGACGGCCATCATCGCCTCGGCGAGCATCATCTCGGCGGTCGTCGTTGCCTCGGCGGCCGTCATCCCCACGGCTACTGCCATCATCTCGACCTCCTCGGCGGTCATCATCGCCCCGGCGAGCATCGTCGCGACCTCCTCGGCCATCATCGCCTCGGCGAGCATCATCTCGACCGCCTCGACCGTCATCCCCTCGGCGAGCATCATCTCGGCGGTCGTCGTTGCCTCGGCGGCCGTCATCCCCACGGCTACTGCCATCATCTCGACCTCCTCGGCGGTCATCATCGCCCCGGCGAGCATCGTCGCGACCTCCTCGGCCATCATCGCCTCGGCGAGCATCATCTCGACCGCCTCGACCGTCATCCCCTCGGCGAGCATCATCTCGGCGGTCGTCGTTGCCTCGGCGGCCGTCATCCCCACGGCTACTGCCATCATCTCGACCTCCTCGGCGGTCATCATCGCCCCGGCGAGCATCGTCGCGACCTCCTCGGCCATCATCGCCTCGGCGAGCATCATCTCGACCAGCTCGGCGGTCGTCGCTGCCTCGGCGGCCGTCATCCCTACGGCTGCGGTCATCACTAGCGCTACCATCATCTCGACCTCCTCGGCGGCCATCATCGCCTCCTCGGCGATCGTCATCGCCTCGGCGAGCATCATCTCGACCGGCTCGGCGGTCATCATCGCCTCGGCGAGCATCGTCTCGAGCTCCTCGGCGGTCGTCCACGACTTGGCGGCCATCATCCCGAGTCCGGTTGCTGTCGTCGCCGCTGCGAGCATCGTCTCGACCTCCTCGGCCGCCATCATCACCCTGGCGAGCATCGTCTCGACCTGCTCGGCGATCGTCCCCGCGTTTGTTGTCTCCTTGGCCGTCATCTCCACGACTTCTACGTCCGGCACGCGCACGGTCATCAACGTCATCTCGGCCATTTCGGCCTCCAGTGTCTTTGCGGCTGTTGCGGCGGTACTTTCTTCCACGCTCATAGCTGCCACCGGTGCTTGTGTTGTTCCTCAAGGCAGGCGTCCAAGGAGCATCACATGCAAACCTCTGTGTTGCTGCTGTTCTTCCGCTTGTGTTGTATGTTAGCTTCGCAAACTAATTGGACTCCCGAACACCAAAACTACAAGGTCGGGTCAAGGAAGCACAGCAGCCACACAAGCAGGTGCAAACCCTAGAGCCAGGCCTGTCGTTGCCCCTAGCAACAGCAAAGTCGATGAAACAAGACAGGCACCCGGTCCTGCGGTAGGCTCGCTCGTCGACAGGGCGGCGGATGCGGCGCGAAACGACCAACGCCTCCTGCAGCGCTGCGAGGAAAACTTCAACTTAGACGATTGCGAGCCGTTGGCAGTGGCTTGCGCAGGAAGGGCGGTTTTTGCAGGCCTCACTGGGATAGCGAGAAATTGTATGTAGACCAAGACGAAATTCCTTCTCTAGGGGCCCTCCCCTCTGCCAAAACTCAGAATGCCACCCAAGATACTCCTGGAATCCCCTCGGCCCTGAATCTAACGCAGCATCTCAGGGGCTTTCTGAATCTCCTGATTCCCTCCCCCCCCCCCCCCCCCCCCCCCCCCCCCCCCCCCCCCCCCCCCTCCCCGCCTTCGGCTCGGGGTCTGCCTTGGGGTCCACTTTGCGGTCCCGGCGCGTCTCATCCCACTTCTTCGGTCCGGAGCCGTGGCCCCAGGCCTCGGCTCGGCTCGACACAGGGTTGTGACTCTCGGGCTTGACTCTCGGGCTTTTGACTCTCGGTTGATTTTGGTGGGTCCCCTTTGTATTCTTTTTTATTTTTTGGGGGGGGGGGGGTCGTGCATGGCCTGGTAAAAAGTGGGAGGCGAAAGTGACTCACGCCGGAAGCTTAGACGACTCGACCTCTGCAGCATCCAGGAAGTCAGAAAGCCAGGGTTTAGGGTTTAGGGTTTAGGGCCTAGGGTTTAGGGTTGAGGGCCCCATCTGCAAGCCACGAGGCGAGATCTGGCCTCACCTGCAAGAACGTCGGTGCGTGGAGGAGGGCGGACATGCGGTGCTTCGTGTGGTTCACCACACAGTGTAGTGGCTCATACCATGCTTCATCCATCCATGCCAATCATTCCAGCACAATCTGCTCAGTAGGATGTGGCCTTCGAAAGGGCCCAGTTACAAGTGGCCCAAAGATATTCTAGAACCCTTTCCTGCTGGTCTGAACCTGCTGACCCAGAACCTCCAGAACAACTTGCACTGCTGAACGCCCGCTACGCAGCACCTGACTGTCACACTGAAAAGACTGGGGAGAGCGCACAGACATTTAACACCGTTGGCCCGTGCACATGGCGAATGACCGGACCTGCCTCGATGCTCTTCACTTCCAGCAACGATGTCCTTGAACAACTTTGGGGGGGGGGGTGTCACATAGGGCTGCATTTGTGCAGAAATCTTTGAGGTCTTGAACTGAGGCTCTAAACAGTTTCATTGGTGAACGAATCAGGATGAAGCTTGCAAACACAGATAACAACTGTATCGCACCAATCGCACCCGTCAAGTAGCACACCGGTGGGACCAAAAGATAAGTCTTTGGCATGGACAGGGCCTCAGCCTGTCAGTGTCCGAATCTTGCAAGCCCTTGCCCTACAAACCCTGATCCTAAACTCCGGAACCTCAGCTACAACCTGGCCTACCATCCTCAACCCGAATCCTCAACATCCCCCCCCAACTCTCCACACTGCGGCCCATGGTGCGCAGCGCGGCGCTTCTTGACTGGCGCCATCGAGGTCAGGAGGTCCTGCGAACTGGGAGGGCATTGTAAGGGCTTTGAATCATGGGACTTCTCTGCGACATACACTCCCCCTCCCCCGCCCCCCCCCCCCCCAAAAAAAAAAATAAGGGCAAAACAAGGGCGAGCTGCTAAACGCCTTTGTCAAGGGGGGAGTAGCCTCGGGTCGCCTCGGGGTGCCCGTCTCCCGCCTCCGCTGTCGGGTCGGCCGCTCCGATGGTCTCGGCCTGGGATGGTTTTGGCAGGGTTTGGGGGAGGCGTTGGATCATCTTTTCGGGGTCGCCTTCCCAACGGACCCCGTATGCTCATCAATCTTCCGCAAGGACCCGAAAGGCCTGGGTTCGAAATTCCGGCGCGTTTTTACCCTCGACACATGACTCGGCAAACGGCAAAGACCACTCCCTGAACAGAAAAGTGACTCGGGGATCGAATCAGCCCTCGGAAGCTTCGGGGGTTGGAGCTGGATCGGGCCCGTACTCTCGCGCTTGCGCATCGAACCAGAGCCTCAGGCCCTTTTGAAATCTTTGCGATGCGCTTGAACTGCGAAAGCAGATAGACATCAGCCATGGCACAGCGTGCTGCAGAGCCTGCAGGTATGCAAACCTCCGCTGAGAAAGTGGAAGGAAAAACCACGAACGAGGTCGCTCTTTCTTCACTTTCTTCAAGAGAGCTGAGGTTGCTAATGGTTACACAGGCCGTTGGGATTCAAAGCTGAGGGCATGCTGCTGAATTTGAACCCCCACCCAATCCATTGACAAAAACTAAGCCCTTCAACCTAGCTTTCCGTGCCAGAAAGGGTGGACTATGGAAATTTGTTGTGGCGTCAAGACAAGCAAAACAAAGCGCAAAGAATAACGACAGCATTTCCTGGATAAGCGGCTTTTGGTGCTAAATGAACCTCGTTTTGTTTATTGAGCATATGTTGATCTGTTTTTTGATGGCTCTCCCCGCCATAAAAGCCCCTAAACGCTCGTCTCACATCTTGCCGCGCGGCGCGTGGATGGCATCTGGCTCCAGGACGCCCTGCTCATTCCACTCGTTCCTCGGCGCTCTTTTTTGCGGGGGAAATTCTCGGGAGCCTTCGGGAGAAAGGGAAGGGGCACCCTCAAGTCAGGGTGCATCTCAGAAGACCGATTGTCTTCCGCTTGGGAGAGTGTTCCTGTGCCCCATACGAGTATCTTCGATCTAGGCGTGAAGCTGGCATTGAAAGCTTCTTTCCTGCACCTGCATCACACGCATCCTATAGAAATAGCTCATTTGCATACCAGCGGTTCACATCAGCTTTGGGCATCAACAGCATTTCAGGAAACACACCTGCGCACAGTCTCGCGGTCTCGTGAACCCAGGACCCAAGACAAGGCGTGTTGGCGGGGCCTGATAAGTGAACACGACACCCCGGGCGCGGGAAAAAAATTGGAAGCGAGTCCTTGCGCTCTGTTGAGCAAAGCAAGCCCTGGAGTGCCTTGGAGCTTGGGTGTTGCTTGTCGAGGGGTCTTTGGGGGGCTTTCTTTTTGGGGGTTTAGGGTCTTGAGCTCCACGCTTACAAGCTCCATGGAAAAGGGGCTCCGCTTTTCGTTTTGCGGCATGCGTGGCTTTCCAGGAGGCAGGAGCGGCTGCTTGCAGACCGGCTCAAGGCCCGGCTCATCTGGTCGTCGCAGGGCAAGCCATGGGACCAGTGTCGACGCCCCATGTCAAGAAGAGCAACGTGTCGTCAAGAGCCCTTTTAAGGCCGCTTAAGGGCCTATAGACCTCCCCCTACTTCTCACTGCCAAGCCCAGATTCCAGGCGGCGACAAAGTAGAGGTTCTCATTGATGCGGCGAGCGGGATGGTGGCTCATGTTGCCTCGGCTCGGATGGGGGTCTCAAGTGGCTCTTGTGCTTCGCTCTTAGGGTGGTGGGGGGGGGGGGAGGGCTCTCATTCTGGAGCTCTCCGACGCTATCCGATGCTCTCCGATGCTTCGGGCCAAGCGCTAGGGCGCTTGTGGGGTTGTGGAGGTTTGGGAAGTTCGGGCATCGTCCAAGTCCAATGTGCGCTTGGGTTGCAGACGGTATCGAAACTGCGGTCCCATCGCAAACCCATGGGAGGAGAACTCTGAACCGTCGACTCCCAAACCACAGGAGGAATGGGAAGATGCCCAAATGGACCCAAAACCAGGCCGTTCAACTCCTCCAGGGTGGTCCCAGCAGCTGAAAGACTGTTGCAGTGCCACCTACAAAGGGGGGATGGGTTCGAGTTGGGCGCTTCTTCAGGTCTAGGCAGCAACTGCCTCAACTCAGTTTAGGGGATTTTGAAACACCTACTGTTTCTTAGAAATCGGACCGTGGGGTCTTGGGGTTGGGGGTCTGGGGAGCCAAGAAGGGAAAAACTCGGCGCATTTCAGAGCCTTGAACTCCTCAGGGCTGGCCCGATAGCGCTGGCTGCAGCCTGGGGACAGGTTCAGTGGGGTTTAGGGTTTAGGGGTTCAGGGTTCAGGGTTTAGGGTTTAGGGTTTAGGGTTTAGGGTTTAGGGTGTAGTGGAAGGAGGAGCCCCCCCCTCAAAGGGGGATCCTTCAAGGGGCTTAGGGATTAGGGTTTAGGGTTTAGGGTGCTCCCCCCCCCTTGAGGGGCCCCCATGTCCTTCGGAAACTAGCGACACCCATCCAAGCTGAATGAATTCAAGTGGCCACGAACCCGGTTGTCGAAGCCAGTCGTGGCGCCCCAATACCTTGATGCTGCATACTGACCATCCATATTTGGGGCTCAAGCTTTCTCATTTTCTGTGGTGCTCGGCATCACTGACTTCTAAGCTACACCACGTCACACCACTGCTTACACGGAGCCCTCATCCAGGGATATCCAGGGTGCTGCGGCCACGTGGTCACAAAGTCCTGGATGTTGGGGTGAATAGGCTTGCCAATGGGGGCAGGAGTTCGTTCTCAGAACGAGGCCGGGTATAGCACGTCTTGAAGCTCCACGGCACATGCTCCACAGAACAGAATGGATAGCGAAGAAAACTGAATCGCTGATGCTTCTTGGGCAGAATGCTTCAGATCCAAGACAAGTCGGATCATGTTGGACTAGGCCTTGTCTTCCCCGGACGCAGGGCGACCGCAGCGCTCGCAAACCTGAAGTGGCAAGCCCGGATGTGAGCCCCCGCCGCCCCCCGTCACTCCCCCCCCCCCACCTCCCCCCGTCACTCCCCCCCACCTCCGGCCCTCATTAGCAACCAAACGTTTCTTGATTGGAAGGCTTGGGTGACAGCCGTTGGCGCACCTCTCGCGCTAGCCTCAACACGACGCGAATACCCCAGCAATCATATGCAACCATATGCACCCCCCCACGGCACAAAGTGTTCGGCGCGGAGTGCCTCTCTCTGAGCAGGTTTTTTGTTTTTTGAGGCCGGGCAGCAGCCATGAAGTGGAAGCTGGCGTCGAAAAGGGTGGGCATGAACTGCGGGCCACCAGCCCTTGGAAAGCAAGTCACGCGTTCAGACTCAGCATGCTGGAAAAGGAGGGAGTGCCAGACATGCTGGTCCTGGGGCGCCCACCCACTCACCGTGCGGAGGAAGTAGATGCCGTTGAAGCCATTCTGCTTGGCGAGCCTTACGGGGGGGACCGGTCAGAAGACTCCGGCTACTGGTAGCTCCTTGGTGGGGCTGTCATCCATTAGAGAGCATGCGGACTCGTTCCGAGGAGGTGGCTGGTGCCAGTTGTTCATCATCGGCCCCAATTTGTCGCCAATCTCCTCGGCGGCCCCACACTCGTTCAGCAAGCCCCTCCAAGCCTGTGCCCAGAAAAACCCCACATCTTGGAACGTGTTCCCACACCGAATCCAATAAGTCACCACCGGCCCGGATTTGAGACAGCAGTAGCGTCCTGAGGGAAGTAGATGGCGAAGATGGGCTTGTTGTCGACCTTCTTGTAGAGGCCTGAAACGCAGAGACGTATATTCAGAGGTATCGCCTTGAAGGGTTCCTTCATCATCAGGATGCCGGTGGAGGCACAGCCCCTCCAAAAAGAAAAATCCGAGAACATCCTGAAACCCGTTCGCCACGGAACGGTGCTGGAAGTATGGCAGAAGGTACTCGAAGTGCTCGCGCCATCCAGTCTCATTGCCTTGGCTCCAAGAATCCAGAGCCCAGCCAAAGGTCCCAGATGTTCACTCCGACACCTCACGCGACCAGCACCTCACGCGACCAGCAAACCGAAAGCCAAGCTTTATCAGGATATATACGATCATACTGGAAAAGGCGAATGCCATAAGGCACACAAAAGGGATACACAACAGTCAAGGAAAGAGAGGCCTCATGTTTAAGTGCCCCTGCCACCCGAACGACCAGGACTCGAAAAAAATAATATACGTATACATATACATATACATATACATATACATATATATATATATACATACGTACATATGCATATATAGATATATGTATATATATGTGTATATATATATATATGTACATGTATATCTATTTATTTACTTATGTATATATTAACTGTCTGGACGTCATAGCTTTACAGCTCTACAGCTTGCAGCTCACCGCAGCTCCTTCGGGGTCAGGATTTCAACCACCAGTAGCCCACATGACCAGCCAATATCTTCAAAGGTAGCAAATGCATCCTTCAGCATCCTTCACATCCTTCAACAGCAGACAAGCCAAAGTGGCTGTAGTCTTGGTCAATGAGCACCTCTCCCGTGGCGTGCTCACCGTAGCCACGCTCCCATCGCCTTTTACAACAACTGAGGGCGAACATGCACGGAGGCGCTGGGGCTGCAACCAGAATCAAGACTGTAAACAGAGACATCATCACCCCTGAACCCGCAAAACACCAAGCTCTGCCTGTTAGCCCAGGAGAAGAAGAAGGGCACGTCCGGCTGGCCATCCTGAAGCATAAGGTGCGGAATCTTCCACATCACCTCAGATTCAGATCGTGTTGATTCCTTCACAGGTCCCACATTAGCTCATTAGCGCCTGAGATCTCAGAGGTCTTGGGCCAAAAGATTTGCGGCCCCAGCAGCGCTGCTGTTCTTGACGCCCTGGCCGCTGAACCAGTAGTGGTAGAACCTGGGCGCTGCGTGGGGCTTGGCTGTGTATGGCTGTGGCATGGCTGTGTCGGATGCTTCGCGAAGCCGAGTGTCCGAGAGCCCTAAAAGATGCAAAGTGCACAAAGTGCACTAAGTGCACATGATTGCCGATGACGGCTCCAATGGCCATGGCAGGAGCCAGCCAAGGGCGCCGCATGAAGCCGTGGACGCCGTACTGCTTTGCAAGGTCCGCCTGGCCCAAGGGGTTTTTCGAAGAAACGAAGGGACGCAGAACATGAGATAAAGCGAAACAGAAATACGTGGGCAGAGGGTTTTGCTTTAGATCGTGGGGTTGGAGAGCGTCTTCTTTACGGCCAAGGCCGCAAGTCCCTGAGCACACAGTGATTCTTCAACTTCAAGTCTGGACAATACTGTGGGATGTACTGGGGTGGTCCTTGCGGACTTGGGGAGTTCTTGGGGTGTCCTTAGGGTGTCCCCCTTCGGGCCGTTGAGCCCGCGAGCCCGCAAAGCTGGGAGAGTCGGATTCAGAGGTTCAACTCGTTTCAACTCCCAACTGCACCAACTGCAATCTCCCAGACCCTAGATGACCCGAGCGCCCCTGCAGCACCGCACCTGATGCTTGCGGACCTTTCTGTCAGTAAGGTCCTGGTCGCAAAGCATTTGGAGGGCTTCAGGAGTTCAAACTCCGCGGCCCTGTCACCAGAATCGTGAAATTCTTAGGCCGCTACCCCCCCTTAGATTCAAGATGGCAATATCGTGCAGGCCGCAAAGTCTATCTGACGCATCGGGGGGAGCCCTCTCTTTGAAGACTATATAGACGCACTGCGCAAGCCCCACACATTCCTCTAGAAAACGCTCAAATAAACTCAGCCGGGCTGCGTAGTAGTCCAAACCGCCCATCTCCGCGGACAGCGGCTTGCGCAGCTCGTTGGCTGGGCGCGGAATGTGAAGTGGAAGGAAGCTCTCCGGCGCCCGCCCCCCCCCCCCCCACCCGCGCTTCTTAGAGCAAGGATGTGAGGCTCTCAAGTGAGGATCCCCTGCTGAGGGCACAGGAGGCTTCTGTTGGGGGCCAAGCCCAGGCCTCCTTCCGACCTGGCCTTCGGGGAAATTGAGGTTCTGTTGAGTAAACACATGTAAACCCCTCAACCCCAACCTTTCCCTGAATAACAAGAAAAAACCCCTTGGCTGCTTGGGCTGCTTGGGCTGCTTGGGCTCGGACCCTCATCCACGAAAGGCTTCAGGTGTGTCCATTCGGTGAAGCCCTCACCATGGAACTCGTCGTTCCTAGGAAGAGGGGCGTCAGAACAAAAGCGCATGGGCATGGGATCAGGGTCTCAAGACAGAGCTCTCTTTGTGCACAAGGCTCACGACATGGCATTGACAGCAGGCGACCCTTTGTTTCAAGAGACTGGGCCACCGGCTCAGGGAACTGGTGGTACTGCGGGAAGTAGATGGCCATGACCTGCAAAAGCTGTAAGCCCTGGTAGCAACAGGAAAGCGCCCGGCAAGACCCTGAGACCTTTGCAGATGGACGCTCCCAGAAACGAGAGCCGTGTCCAAAAGGAAGATAAAAACAGGCAGAACCCTACAAAACCCTAAACGCCAAACCCTAAACCCTACACCCTAAATCCTAAACCCTAAACCCGACATCCTAAACCCGAAACCCTAAACACGAGGGCTCCCAAGGGATCCCCTTTCACACCAAAAGGGCCTTGGGTGCCATGGGCAGCTCTCCGACGTAGAAGCCCGCACCCCGGATGGCAGAGACGGCGAAGTTTCCCAGCTCGGTCTGAGGCTTTAGGGTTTAGGGTTTAGGGTTTAGGGTTTAGGGGTTTAGGGTTTAGGGTTTAGGGTTTAAGGGTTTAGGGGTTTAAGGGTTTAAGGGTTTAAGGGTTTAAGGGTTTAAGGGATTAAGGGATTAAGGGTTTAAGGGTTTAAGGGTTTGAGGGTTTCAGAGTTTAAGGGATTAAGAGTTTAAGGGTTTAAGGGTTTAAGGGTTTAGGGTGGAGAAACCCCATCAGGTCTCGTGAAGTCTTCAAGAAGGGGCCTAGCAGGGTCCGGAGATCATTCTTGCCCAGTTCTTGCTAACTTCTTGACACTAAACCCTAAACCCTAAACCCTAAACCCTAAACCCTAAAACCTAAACCCCTAAACCCTAAACCCTAACCCTCGGAGCCCCTCGGCCACGCTGAACTTAGAAAACCCCTGGCCTCGATGCCCTCCAGCTTCGGCCAAATCCTCTGTTGAGGTCTAATAGGGTTTGGGGTTTAGGGGTTTAGGGGTTTAGGGGTTTAGGGTTTAGGGTTTAGGGTTTAGGGTTTAGGGTTTAGGGTTTAGGGTTTAGGGTTTAGGGTTTAGGGTTTAGGGTTTAGGGTTTAGGGTTTAGGGTATAGTGAAGTTGAGGAAGGAAAAAAAGGATGAGTAACGAGCACTCGCGTATTCTGACTATTTTGCCGGCATGTTGAGGCTGTGGGTGGTTGCACGCTGCGGCCCATGATTTCGAGTCCTTTTTCGTGCACCCTCGTGTGCGCCTTTATGCTCAAGGTTTCTCTTTTCGGAGGGGCTCCCAGCGCAGGGCCATGCAGGACCACAGGCATTTCGGGATTCAACGCTGAAGAGACGGGAGGCGTGGGCGCGTACTTCGCCAGGCTCTGGAATGGCGGAGAGTTGAAGCGAGACCAGTACCTGAGGGACAGGTAACGTCCTCTCGACGCAGTCATTCCAAGAAGTTTTGTATCCAGGGCGCATGTTGCCGCCGATGCTCGTGAGCTGGTCCTGGCATGTCATGTGGAGCTGGGCCTACTTGATTTTCAACGGCCCAAGCGTCCTCACACAGTACATGAACCTGAACGCTCTCCTCTTCTTCTTCTTCTTCTTCTTCTTCTTCTTCTTCTTCTTCTTCTTCTTCTTCTTCTTCTTCTTCTTCTTCTTCTTCTTCTTCTTCTTCTGCTACTCTCTCTTCTACTCTCTCTCTCTCTCTCTCTCTCCCTCTTCTACTCTCTCTATCTGTCTCTCTCTCCCTCTCTCTGCGAAACATACAAAATCACGATCGGGTCAGCGCGCAGGCCGCCCCAGCCTCGGAGATGTCGATCTTGGTGCCCATCTCTGAGAGCAGAAGCTTGGCCGCCTTGCCAGACTAAGGACACGTCAAGGACCCCTTGGATGTCGCGCCGGTCCCTTTTTAGGGCTCGGAGGTCTGTACAGCCTGACAGAACCTCTCGGACATCTCCGTCTTCGACTTCGGCAACGCAACGCAAGGCAACATGAGCTGGCCCGCAGCACAAATCCCAGAATGTACTCAATGTAGATAGATTGGATTTTTCGGAAAAAGACAAACTGTCAAAACAACGCCATAAAGCTCCGAGGGCTTCCCCTGGCCTGCTTGGTCGAATACATCGGGGATCCGCCAACTTCTTCGCGGTCTCCGAAGAGGCGTTCAGCAAGGACCTCCGCGTGACCGCATGGGCTCGGGAACGGGGTGCCTCTGTCGGAGTTGCAGTGTTGCACAGGTTTCACACAAGATTCGCGTATCTTTCTTTTTGCTCTGGCCAGTTCATGCAAGAGCCCGAAGTCCCCCCGAACCCTCTCCTAAACTCCCGAACCCGGCCGGCGCCAAGTTGGAGATCTTTGTGCGGCGAGTCATGGTGGTGCCAGCCTTAGGGGTGAACTCGGGGAACAACTTTGACTTAAGCCGCTTGGCTGCAGCCTCAAGGGCCGGTGCACCCAGAAGCCGGGAGCCAGACCGGAGCAATGAGATTGAGCTTGCCATGGATCCTTGGTAGCCGCATCTTTAGCGGCGCGAGGAGGAAGGCTTCAGTTGCTTTGTTGCATTGCACTGGCATAGGCAAGGGAGATGCCGTGTGCCACGAGAGAACCAGGTACCCATCTCGCACTCATGCCTGGCCCACAGCCAGGGCGCTCGAAGTTGTGAAGCGCACTGCGAACTTGGAACTTCGTCCCACACAGCGCCTGAGAGCACGACAGAAGCTTTCCAAGGAAGCTCAGGATGAGGGATGATAAGGTGGGTTGCCCGGGCTCGAGTCTGCACCGAATATCCTGCAGCATCCTGGCAAAACCCTGCTCGGCCTCAAGAACCTTTCAATGGGACGCCAGCACCCCGAAGCTAGCTGTTGCCCAAAACCCTAAACCCTAAACCACACATACTCCAACTCCCCTCCTCCATGGTCAGCTTGCGGAGGTCAGGGTGGCTGTCGGTGTGGATCTTCCTTGGATCCCATGGATTAAAAGAGATACTTGAAATCTTTGGGGTCTTTCAGCAAAGTTCCTGAGGGGGGGGGGCCTCGTAAAAGCAAAACAGCTCACACGGAACCTGCGCCCCACACAACGCTCACACCGGGTTCTGTCCGACAGAGCCCGAGGGGCAGGAGGAGGTCATACTGCAGGCCCTTCTTCTGGGCGGTGTACCTGCAAAGGCCCCACCCCCCCAACCGGAGGGGCTCCAGATTCGGGCTTCCGAGTTTTTCCGGGGTTCCCTTGCTTCCTCTCCCTTGCGCGACATTTAAGGTCGCTTACGATTCCTGCTTTCAACCTGCAGCAGACGGCCGCCCACGGCACACACAGCCGCACAAAGAACCCTCAACCCCCCTCGAAGGCCCTTCCGCAGAACGGAGAGCCCCCGCGGAGCCAAGGCACAACTGCGAGACAAAGTGGCCCATGTCCTCAGGTGCTGCGCAGCTGAAAGCGTAAGGATTCGGTACTCAAGATGGCCTGCCGCCCCGTACTTCTTCAATAACTCCCAGGTACGCGCCCCAAGGCCCTAGTTGCCTTGGAAAATGCACCTTAAAGAACATGATAGCAGCTTTGGCCACTGTGCGCCCAGTCGCCATGCCCTTTGATTTGGACTTTGTGAGGACCAAGTTGACGAAGCCGTGCTTGCCTGGGGTTGAGTAGCATGACCAGGGTGTGGAGTGGGTGTCCTACATCCGAACACGGAGACGAACCATCAACACCTGGCACACTCGAGACTCTACAACGTCATTCACATCCACCACCTTCCCCTGCATACCGCCCCACCTTGCCTCGCAGGTATCCCCACAGCTGGTGCATGGCCGCCTTGTTGGGAGCCGAGGCCTCCACCTGAGTTGCGCGGCTGAGGGCTGCGGCATTGCTAGGAGGGGCCTTGTGGAGAGAGGATCACCGAATCGCCCTTTTTTCTGGGAGCAGCACGTAGTCGATGTGCACGCCGATGCTGTCATCCGAGGCTTCCAACACGTTGGAGACGCACTGCGCCAGTTCCTAGCGTTGTGGAGTTTGTATGCGGCTCGGGCGGGTCTTGGGTACTTCTGTTTATCTCTGCATGCCTCTGTATACCTTCCAAGCATTGGAGGCCATAAATCTAGACATCAACAAACATCGGTCTACGCTCGGGGCCACATTTGGCTCGTGTGCTTACAAGGTGCCAGTGAAACAGTCACAGCAGCAAACTCTGTCAAGTCAATGCAAAACAAGTCGCGGGCCAAACCTCGCCGGAGCCCACCTGCAGGTTTTCTCTTTCAATGGCTTTGAAGCTTCATGTGCTCGTCCGGCCAGGACGGGACAGTTGGACGAAGAGGTCAGAAGGGAGCTGTCCTAAAGAAACCAGGAGAAGCCCCAAACATTCAGCTGCAGAACTCCCTCCTTCTGATCAAAACGACCTACCCAGAGCATCGAAAAACGCCCCTTTCGCAAAAGCTCCGAACCAGAAGAAAAGCAGCACTCCTGCTGCACCATTACTCACTGTTCGCACTGGCCGCCTCTTATGTCAGGAGATGCCGGAGACGTCTCCACTGATCCAGTAGCACGTGCTGAGTCAGCAATGCTTTCAAGCTCACAAGATCGAATCTGCGGCTTTGGGACAGTTTCGGCACCCACCTACTGAATATAAAGAAGGACGAGAGGCTTCCGTAGGGTTTCAGAACGCACCCCAGCCTGAGCAAAGATGCCGATCTTCCCAGAGTGAAAACCAATGCGCTCCTCGGAAGGCTTTTTCGGCAACGAACAGACGGAAAAACCGTTTGGTAAAGTGTGGAGCTTCACGTGAGTGAATGCTGCCTGCGCGTGAACTCCCAGGCTCCAAAAAGAAGTAGCCTGACAGTTTGTGGGGGCGGCATTTGCAGCTATCAGCCGGGGGTCTGTCTGCCCTACAGGAATGAGTTGCGAAGCATGGAGTTTTTACCGGCAACGCCATGCGAGGGCAATGCCATGTGTGCGTACACCCGGATTCCACGCTAACGTACGAGTAGGACTGCTTTGCACCTTTTTCGTCTGCGGGGGCAGTGGATCACCCCAGCGTACATGCAGCTTCACTCCACTCCACGTTTGCAGCGTGCTTTATACTCGGCAGGCTTTGACCTAGGTGACCCGCAATCAGTGACACCCTCATTGCTTGCTCTGGCTCTGCATTTGCTTGTTGAAAGCTTCAGCTGCCTGTGTATTTGTGTACAGCAACAGGCACCTCTCCATATCTTCCTGCTTTTTGCTCTTGACAGGGTCTATGTTCTACAAGATGATCCAAATCAAACCAACTCGGGGGAAACGGGGCGTGTTTCAGCTTGTGGAAACAGAAGATCTCGGGGGCGACGCCTCACGGCCCTCAATACGGTCTTCACTCTGTGTGTGTGTGTGGGACACTGCTGTACATGCGGGACCCACTTCAAGATGAACCGGCTTTGTCAACATGGAAACAGCACGCTGCCACAGAGAAACGTGTGTGTGGGTGTGGGTGTGGGTGTGTCCGCGGGTGTGTGGGTGTGTGGGTGTGGCCTTTGGCTTTCAGCCAGCAGCTACAAGTTTCAGCCTACATGCCAAGTCGGCGCCTCAACCCTGTCCTTCCCCGCGTTCTAAAATCCGTAGCCCACAATATCCTACAGTACAGTCTCCTACAGGAGCCTCGGGGAGCCTTCGGGATATCCTCAACTCAGTGCCGGCGGGCGTCCATCAAAATCTCAGGCTCTGTAAAATCATCAGCGGACACCTCCAAACAGGAGAAGATCAGGGGGGCTTGGGCGATTCTCTTCCACCCACCATCCTCAAAAAAACGCAGAGAGAAGGCTCAGGTTCATGCAAGCTCTTGCTGCAAATAGACACAAACCACCCCCCAAAGGGATGCAAGCTTGAAGTTGAAGGCCCGACAAGAAAAACCAACAGAGCAAGCTTTCCATCTGCCAGGTGGTCCCGATACCCCAGGTAACATGTGAACGTCTGAACCCGAGCAAATCACAAGAATCGACAGCGGCCTCGGTCTGCTGACTCCGCGCCACGCAGAGCCTCGGAGACAGCGGCGAAAGGGAGCGCAGATGCAGAAAAGGGCCCAGAAAGGGTTTTTCGGCGTGCAACCCCGATGCCGCAGAGCTGCAACGTTCCTGCCGGGAGATTCCCTGCAAGCCGGGCATTGCATGCCTCTTCTCCGGATCCACTTTTTTTGGCTTGTTCCCTCCAGTTCTCTTTTTGAGGCTACTGGCCCTTTGGGCACCTCAAGGACCTCCCACCCCCCCCCCCCACCACCCCCCGCCCGCCACCGTGACCCAAAGCCTCCACATTCAGAGAGTAAAATCTTGCCATTTGCTTGCCCTGCTCGTCAGGCTTTTCTCGAGTTCTTGTTCTTTCGCTCCTAGGCCGACGAGTCTGAGCCTCCCCCACTTGTCAGGAGAGACCGATTCCAGTGCAGCACTTCATGTGCTTCTCTGGTTGAGACACTGTCCTCTCTCCATCACTGGAGAAGATGCCGAACATGTCCCGACATTGGTCAGATGGTCAGACACTCCTGGCATCTCATCGACAAACTAAGACCACACAAACAGCCTTCGAGATGCATCTTGAAACTTCGATGGCAGGAGATAGCACCCTGAAGCACAAGAACGAACCCCCCATTGCCACTGACTTCAATGCTATGGCCCATAAGGTTGCAGCGTTGCACCCCCGAAAGCGTGTACTATCTTCAGCACAGCAGCGCAACAAGTGCGGCAAAGAACTGCATGGCTGCGAAGGATGAGCCTTGTCCTTAGCTGAGAGGATGCTGTAAATCGCCATGCTTGAAAACTTTGACCGAAGTCCGGGCTCCATTCGTAGCAGGCGAACAAGGACGAAGTGCAGAGTTGATAGGACCATTAGGCCCCCCATGCTACGGTGCTGCATCTGCAAACGTCTTGAGGGGCCCTCTTACAAGTAAGAGCCAGTCAGCACTTATGAAAACAGCCATGGCTTCCTCCCGAACTGTTCAAAGCAGAAGGAGGGCCCTAAACCTTAAACCCTCAACCCTAAACTCGAATGCCCCCCCTTGCCAAGATCTGTCCCAGGCTCTGGGCTCTGAGGGCGTCCGTGGCTTTTGGGGGAAAACTTTGGTTTGGCCTGACCTTGCCTACGGAATTTCTATGCACTAGACTCTGAAAATCTGCAGCATTCACAGGTGTCCTACTGATGTGATGTGTTCACCTGGAGCTCGGGCGGGTACGGGATGCGTTTCGATGCCCCCCTTGGCTGCGGAGTGGCTTTTCCCGCAAGGGAGGGCTCGAGCCAAAATTGGCCAGCGTTGCAAAGACTCCTAAGTCCTATAGCGCATGACCCGAAGTGGTCTTGCAAGGCCACGGTTCACCTCAACTGTAGCCCCAAGTTTACACTGTCTTCAGGACACGAAACAAGGGCGAACCACAGAAGAAGTCGGGGCCGACCCCCGACCCCCTCTTCATCAGAGGCTTTCAGAGGCTTTTGATGGCCATTTCGAGACATCTGCGCTGCCGGCGGAGTCTTGCCCAGATTTGCCCAGGGCCTCTAGGATTGCCTGCAAGGGACACAAAGAGCGGTCGGCTTGCGGGGAACATAGGAAGGAGCGGGGTCTCAGGGCTCTTCTTGAAGCAAAGATTCTGCAACTAGTGGCCACCCAAGTTGCCCTAAGCTTAGATGCGCATGGCTTCTGTCGAAGAGCACACGAACCAACTAACCTACCAAGAACCACCCAAGGTCCCGAACGGACCCCCCAAAAACACTGATTGATCCTGAGTTGCTCGGCACCGCTGCTTTCACTTTCATCATCCTCCTCCGCCTCCTCCGCCTCCTCCGCCTCCTCCTCCTGCTGCTCCTCCGCGGGTCCACGGGCAGAAGTTTGTCTTGCGCTGAGCTAGCGCAGACATTCTTGGCAATGGAATTGTGGGCTTTGAGGAAACCCGAGGCATAGACCGCAAAAACACAGACATTAGAGCTGCAAATATAGACCCTAACCCCCAAACCCCAAACCCTAAACCCGAGTAAGTGGCTTCACGAGGCCTACTTTTGGTTCGAAACTTTTTCGGGTTTATAGAAGCCAAAGTTAGGATGTCATCAAGAGAGCACATGGGATATCCTGGAACTCTATGTTTGCCTCAAAGCCCAACCCCCCCGCTCATTCTAGTGAAATGTGGCAACTCTGACCGCAAAGCTGCCGAACTGAGAACCTCCAACTCCTGAAACTTCAGTTCCCCTCCAATGCTCCTCCCTCGCGGGCGCGGGCGCGGGCGCGGGCGCGGGCGCGGGCGCGGGCGCGGGCGCGGGCGCGGGCGCGGGCGTGGGCGCGGGCGGCTCCCGCGCAGGCGGCTTCTTGGCGGGCGGCTGTCTGGCGGGTGGCGGGTGCCTGGCGGGCAGCTCCCTTGGCGGCTGCCTGGGGGGCGGCTCCGTCAGCGACTCGTTGGTGGGCGGTGGCTGCCGCGGCGGCGGCTTGCTTGGCGGCTCCCTTGCGGGCGGCTCTCTCGGTGGGGCACTTGCGGCCGGCTCCCTTGGCGGCTCCGTGGGGGGCTGATCGCTCTGCTGCGGCGCAGGGCCAGGGCGGGCCTCGGACTTCCCCTTCGCACCAGAACCTGAAGACCCCTCAAAACTCCGCAGCAGCGCCGAGTGAACTGGACCCCAAAGAATGGGATCTCAACAGCCCTCGCATGCGCCCTGACTAGTGTCAGAAGTCAGATCCTTGATGTACCCTGATTGGCCTTGCATGCCCCTTTTTTTTGGGAGTGCGTTGTCGATGCCCCCCCCCCTGCTAGGATCCCAATGGAAGGGAAGACGGCTGCCCCTAAGAAACACTCCCTGCGAGCGTCTCCAGCAGCCATCTGCCTGGAGCGCTCGAGCTGCCTCTGCCTGCAGTGCAGAGAGGCTTTTTGAAGTTTGAGGTTCTTTGCTTCTATTTCTTCTCTTTTGTTTTTTTTTTGGGGGGGGGGCGTTAAGGCAAACCTTGATCGGTTAACAGGATTTTGGGCGAGGCTTTAAGGCAAACTTTCAAGGGCCTTTTTGAGGGGTCAGAACCGATTCGTGATGCGAGTCATGTGCTAGTATAGAGGGGGGCAAGGGGGGGGGGGCTTTCAAGGGCGGGCGGTTTTTAAGCGTTTCAAGCTTCTCACCGCCTCTGCTCAGCGGGGATCAGGAAGTCGCCTGGGCTTCGGAAAAGGGGAAATCGGCAACGTATAGCATGGAAGTTGTCCAAGCTCACGTCACTCTCCGACGAGCTTGGAGACTCTTCAGGTCTCTCGCCTGCAGCTCTAGCTCGGGGGAGGGATCTGACACCCCTGAACCATTGATGCTGCCAAGGATCACACGGTCAGCTGGTCCTTCTCATTGTACATCATCCTTGGGCACACCGCAGACCCTCTTCCTTCGAACCTTTCTGCGGCTGTAAAGAATCATGAGGTTGGCCAGGTCAAGGCCCCGCCCCACCCCACCCCTCACCCTTTAGCCCCCCCCCACCCTAAACCCTAAACCCTAAACCCTAAACCCTAAACCATTCAAGACAAATCCAGGTCGCGTGGTGAGATTCAGGAGCCGATGGAAGAGGAACATCTTTCTGGTGCCCGCTGTTGGCACGCCCAGCAGCTGCCAGCAACTTTCAGCACTTACAGCAAACAACTCTCCCTTCCAATTGAGGAATATTCCAGTGACTTCCAGTGATTCCAGGGCTCAGGGTTTAGGAGATTTGGGCCTTGAGAAAATTTGAGACTTCGCGCGCCGCCGCGCATGCATGTGTGATGTGTGCTGATGAAGGCATCTGGCTATGAAGCGATGAACTTTCGGACATGTCTGTCTGAGGGCCAAAAAGGTGCAGACGACATCTGTGTTTTCAATGATCAAGACCAACAACTATTGATGGGCCAGGAGCTGCGCTACTCAGAAACCAAGCTGGAGAGTTTTTTCCCTGACGTCCAGCTTCCCATGTGCACCTGCCATATCTGCAGCATCAACAACGATGTCATAAACACGGGAAACTGCATGGGCTCTTGCAGCTTCTTTGAACACGCCTCGTCAAGGACGGGCTGCAGTGCGAGGGAAAAGAGGCAGGGGGCAAGGAAGCAGGGGGCACATACAAGCTTAGGGCGCTGGCTGAGCAGGTCGTCACAGCACTCTTGGCAATAGAACCTTGCTAGAATGTGAAGCCTGACGTCGTGAGTATGAACGGGTAAAACACAGCCCAGGTACTCCACGTACGTCCGGTTGCCCGTTCAGACTCCAGTCTCTTCTGCTCTTCGTGGGGCTCAGGATCGATGACGATTGGAAGCTGCCACAAAAAAGGTCAACACGAAACATACTCGTGACAGCACCTTTGAACAAGCCCCCGAGGCCCCACACCCCCTGGAGCTGAGGGGTTTTGCCGACATTTACAGACTCTGCATGTCGCTACAGTGCGAGCCACGCAGGCCGCTTTAAACGAGGGGAGGTGAAACCCAAGATCGAAGAGCATTGCAAATCCAACCAAGCTTGCCAGCTCGGATCTCAAAGGCTCAAAGGCCTCTTTAAAAATAGAGTCTAGAAAAGATGCTGACTAGGCCCGACAGCAAACCGGCAAAGACAATCATCTGCTTCATGAACAGCTCCTCAACATCAGGCGTGCTCGAAGTTGAAACTACATGATCCCCCGGAACTCTCGAGACTTTCTGTAGGCCCTACACATCAAGGAGCCCAAGCCGCCCAAGCGACCCAAGCGACCCAAGCGACAGCGCATGTGACCAAGACGTTCCCCTCTCACGTCCTGGGTTAACTTGACATCGTTGACGGCGAATCCAGCAGAGCTGTCCTCAACTACAGGGGAATTTGGGCTTTCTCTTCCTCTTCACATATCCTGAAACTCTCTACCCTGTTGTAGTGCACTACACCTAGCGCTGCACAGCGCTACAGACTTCACAGACATTTCCGACATCAGACGCGGCACACGGAGTGCCGACGGGATCTTTGAAAGGATCCTTTAAGGGGTTTAGGGTTTAGGGTATAGGGTATAGGGTTTAGGGTTTAGGGTTTAGGGTTCTGGGCTGTTTCAGTGGGACGGGGGACCCACTCAAAACCCACTCTCCTGCAGAGGTGCTCTTAAACAAACACCCAGCTCGCGCAGGTCACACTGTAAGGGCTTCGTGTTCTTACGACAATGGCGCCATGTGCAGTCCGGGAACTGTGATGAATCTGACAAGATACTGCCGGTCCAGGTCGACCTCACGAAGAGGCTTCAGGCAGAGTGAGGGTTTTTGCCCAGATTTTAGAGGGTTCTCGCACGCAAGGATGCTAGAGACCCCGCGTCAGACAGGACACCTGCGTTACCTGGGCTACCTCGCTCACAGGCTGAACTTGGGGCTGGAGCGCGATGACACACAGACGCACACATCTTGGCTATTGTTTTAAGTGAAGTTTCAACAAGAATCCGAGGTAGCCGACCAGGTAGCCCCCTTGCTTAGTGCGCCGAGGCTCATCCAGGTTTGTGGGAATCTGGTTCACGAAGGCTGGGATGGCCCGACATTTCTCGGTGAGGTCGGCCCCATGCCTGGGCTTTCTCTTACAAGGGCTCCCTAGAATCTTAGAAAAAGGGCAGCAGAATCCCCATCTTAAGGAGCACATCGCCCTGCTGAAGCACTAAACACGGGAGCCACGAACCTCCGGAGACCAGAAGAGACGCGGCGCACGACAGCAGATCCGAACTGAAGTGTGTCATCCGTCTCTCTCTATTCCTTCTCTCTCTCCCTCTCTCTCTCTCGCTTATCTCTTCTCTGTCTCATCTCTTATAGCTCTCTGTCTCTCTCTCTCTCGTCTCTCGCTCCCTCTCGCTCTCTCTCGCTCTCTCTCGCTCTCTCTCTCTCTCTCTCTCTCTCTCTCTCTCTCTCTCGCTCTCTCATTCATTCATTCATCCATCCATTCACTCATTAAATCTTTCTCTCATTTCATGGCAGTTCAATTCAATTCACTTCAATGCAATTCAATGCAGTTCAATTCAATGCAATTCATTTCAATTTCAATTCAGTTCATTCATTTTCGCTCTCCCTCTCCCTCGCTCTCTCTCTCTCTCTCTCGCGCTCTTTTTCTCCTTCTCCTTCTTCTTCTTCTTAGAGGCCCGGAGGCCCCCGCGCGCACACTCTCTCTCTTTTCTTCTTCTTCTGCTTCTTCTTCTTCTTCTTCTTCTTCTTCTTCTTCTTCTTCTTCTTCTTCTTCTTCTTCTTCTTCTTCTTCTTCTTCTTCTTCTTCTTCTTCTTCCTCTTCTTCTTCTTCTTCTTCTTCTTCTTCTTCTTCTTCTTCTTCTTCTTCTTCTTCTTCTTCTTCTTCTTCTGCTGGGCCCCACCCTCTCAAGTGAAACTCCCAGTCTCTTCCCTCTCTCTCCTCTCCCCTCCCTCCCTCCCTCCTCCCTCCCTCCCTCCCCTCCCCCTCCCTGCCCTCCCTCTCTCTCTCTCTCTCTCTCTCTCTCTCTCTCTCTCTCTCTCTCTCTCTCTTTTATCTCTCCGTCATCTCTCAGAACACTTTGTAGGCATTTACCATGCATGGCATCGTGAACACGTTGTAGCTGTTCATCACTCGGAAGCAGGAACACTCCCTAGGTGTGCACCATTCACTCCCCGATAAGCAAAACCTGGCATGAGGAATGTTTTGTAGGTGATCACACTCACCCCCCGATAAGCAGAACACTTTGTAGGTAGTTACCACGCACCTCCCGACAAGCAAAACCCAGAATCGTGAACATGCTGTAGCCTTCCACCACGCGGAGGCAGGAGCACTTTGTGGGGGGTCACCACTCACCCCCCGATAAGCAAAACCTGGAATCAGGCACACTTTGTCGGTATTCACACTCACCCCCGCAGAAGCAAAGCAGGGAATCAGGAACGCGTTACACGTATTCACCACTCGCCCTCCTCCGATTCGCACAACCCGGAATCAAGAACAGCTTTTCGGTGTTCACCATTCACGCCCGCGTGAACAACAAACCAAGCTTTAACAGCGACAATCGCGAGGATGGCGCCACCCACGTGCCGCATTCTCATGTCTGTCTGCACTTTTGAAGCAACTATCGTCCAAAAATGGTGACAGTTAGGAGGATGGCGCACCTGCAACAACCATGAGGAGCATCGTCCTCGTGATGGTCTGCACTTTTGATGCGATGACCGAATCCCCCAAGTACAGCTCGATTCGCGTGGGCACTTTCGAGCTTTCGAACGCTTGCGAACGCTTTGCGAACACAACGCGATGCCCGGAAACTCCCCAACCCCTGGACCCCACCTCTTGCAACGAGAACCCTCCGCTACACATGCGAAAAAATAAGAAAAAACTCGCCCAGGCTGCATGCAGACGCGCATGCCCAGGAGGAAAAGCCAAACCAGTGGAAGGGATGCGAGGCCCTCCACCACTGTGTGGAGGATCTCAGGCTCCTCTAGAATGCAGAGAGAGAGAGAGAGAAGGCGCACCGTTTCCTTAATTCGCTGGTACTTCCTGAGACTGAGCTGTCCGAGTCCTCGCGGAAGATCCACGTGACAGCCGCGGCCAGGAAGTACCTCGAGCTTGCTCGGAGCTCTGAGAAGCTTCGAAAGGTGCTTCTTGGCGCATTTTAGCACTTCTCTCCTGGGTCTTCAAGGGTTGTAGTTGTAGTTGAGGCATCTACACCCAAAACACTGTAGACTCAGAAGACGGTAGATGAGCTCAAAAGCCTTGTGGAGTCCCTTACTTGCATCCTCCTGCCGAGCTGCACAAAGCCCAGGGAGGACAGGATCTGCAGGGAAAGGAAGGTCGACGCAAGCTCGCGGCTAATGCACTTCAGCAGCGCCTCCGGGCTCCGGGGACAGGCCTTAAAGTTCATCAAATAAGGTACAGTATCTCACTGTGCCCATGCTTCAAGCCTGCGTTTTAACAGCATAACGGTTAAGAACGGGCTTGTTCGGGACCTCCGAGTCGAGCTTTTGCTTTAGACGAAGGCTTGCACCCAGGTGCAAAATCAACGCCGACCCTTAAAAACAGCAAACGATGAGTGTCGTACAGTGCTGGGACATCTACGGCCCTGAAAAAGGTGCAACTTAGAATGCAAACTCAAGACTGCTTGTCCCAACCCCCTCAGAAACTTGCAAAAAGCATCCAAGAGTGCCATTCTCCCATAAACCCTATGACCTCAAAACCCGTCAGTTTGTCTTATCATCCGCAGTGCCTGCATAGCATTCCAGCTCTGAACTGCTGGGGCAAACTCCATCGAATTCCTCGTGTTGCGCTGCATGTTTTGATACCCGAAACCCTAAACCCTAAACCCTAATCCGCGACTCTGAGCACTGTCTTCGGAGCGCAAACCCCAAAGCATGCCAGAAACCGAGCTGCGCATTCGTTCCCATTGGAGTCTTGGGCAGAACCGGGCTGCAACCGAAAGACTTTAGGGGACCGGAAGAGGCTAATCCTTGTGAAGGTTAAGCACATCTGGCTATCCGCTGTTCCGCAGTACTCCACCGAACATCATGGATCTTGCACGAATGCACTGAAAGTCGACAGGTCGACCAAGGCACACGACTTGGCAGCACCAGCAGTCCAAGCTTTTGTCCAAGCCCAGCAGGAGATGGGACTGGAGATAGGCAGCCTTGGATGTCAAATTCAAACAAACATGTGAGTTGCCTTTAGCCTCACTGATATTAGCGGGTCTCCGAAGTTAGGTGTACCTTCTTGGCGTCCCAAATAATCAGGGAATCCTACTATTTGGGCATCTCTTTATTTGGGGGTCTCATGACTCTCATGCTCTTGAAGCTCCACAGTTGTACAGTGGGAAGTGCCCAGACCTCTGGGCTTGGTCTGATGCACCGAATCACCTCAGCTGCCTTTGCTCGGCTGCTCTGAAACATTGCTTTTACTGGCCGGTTCTTAGTAGGGAATTGGGGAATGAGGGCCCTACATAATCCCTTAAAGGGTATACATAGGGCCCTCATTCCCTCTTTCCCTACTAAGAACCAGGAGGTTTTGAAGACTCTTTTCCCAGTTTGCGAGCTTTTCACAGTTTGCGGGGCCAAGTGCCTAAGAAATCTTTTTCCAGCAACAGATTCTCAGACCCCCAAGCACCCTTCAGGTCTGGGGAGAAAAAAAAAAAGCGTTTCTGTGAGAGGCCCTTTGCAGCAAAAGGCCCCCTTTGGCCCCTTTCGTCGATTGGCCTGGCACTCCAAAAAACCCTCAGCTGAGAAAAGAGATCTGAATTTCCTACAGCAACAATGTTGTAAGAATTGAAGTTGAGATACCTTTGTAGGACTATGGTGATGGACCATTTCAGCCACCAAAGAGTTCAAAAGAGCATGCTGGAGCAATATGCACGCTCTCTGCGTTGGGACAAGGTGGCCAGGCATGTGTTGCGTACATGAGTGTAGGTGTGTGGGCCTCGGATTCCTAGGAATCTACAAAGAGGCTGCGGAGGCTGCCAGGGACGTTGGGACGTGGTGCCAGCATCACGATGGCGCTGGAGACGGCGAAGCTGAAGACGGACAGTGCTTCGATGACATGCTGCAGCGCCTGGCGTAGGGCTCACACAGGGGCCAAACCCCAACAAATGCAGATCCCAGAAGATCCCAGAACCTGTGCGGCTCTGCGGCTTATGGCTGATGTTTACAGGAAGCCTGCCCCGCCGCAATTCCTTTCGGAGTCTGCCAACCCAAACCGTCCAAAAATATCTCTCAACGCTTCTCTGCCTTTTCTGGCGAGACCTTCACTCAACGGCTCTCAAAGGGCAGGGGGGTTCTCGAGGGCCCCTCATCACGCAGGTGTCAGCTTCCGGTGTCGGGCAGCTGCAGGACCTGAACCGTTATGCGAAGCATTACTACATATGACTACCTTCTGTGGGCCTTCGCCACCGGGTCGTTGCCACTGTCCGACTCCACGCTCCATGCCTGGAGCACCTGGGTCGCAGCACAAGAGGGAGATCGAAAGAAGAGATGAGCCGAGAGAAGATCGAGAAGAGAGAGATGAGGCAAGCAAGAGAGTGAAGAGGGCGCGCCTGGCTCGCCACGGCGACAAACACCATTAAGCACCTCAGAGGCTTCAACTTTCGGATCTCCCTCAAATCGAGAGCCCTGCTCTTGCGGAGGCCAGAGCCGAATACAGCCCGTCCCCCCCCCCCCCCATCCGTTCCCCCCTCGTTCCCTGTTTCCCCACCCCCCCCCCAGAAGAGCCCCCAGAGTTCATCCACGTTGCCAGGCCAGCAGGTACTTTCGCCATTCCTTGCCTGCCGAGGGCATTTCGCCGAGGCAGGTCGCCGGGATCGTGGGCTGTCTTAGGATGTCGTGGGATGTCGTGGGATGTCGTGGGAATACAAACCATCAAACCATGCTGGTTCTGGGCCCTAGCCTCAAAGAAGCATGCGCGCACCCTGCCTGACACTTCGCTCCAGCGCAGCTTGAAGTCTGCAACAAACAGGTGGAGCCTGGTCAACGGGTTTAGGACGGCATGCTTCCCCGAAGTTGCAGTCGGGTTGAGGGTTGCGTTAGGGTGGGGTGCTTCACGTTCGTGCAAAGGGCACAAGAACACGAGGGACCAGGGGGCTACTAAGGGCAACGTTTGTGCGATGACCGTAGCTTCGGGAAAATTCAGGGCTGAGGTAACCTTGTAGCATCTGAGACCATTCCAGCGCTGTCCACAACCTGAGATACGATGATGCTTTCTGAGCCTGCTGGTGGCCAGGTGAAAGTCCGCGGAACGAAGTGCCTTTCGGGCGTGCAGGGGACAGCTCATTGCTCTCAGGCATTGGGAAGCTGCAAAGAGGCAGCCCCCCTAGCTTCGACAAAAGCACGGAAAAGTGCGTGTCTAGGTCTCAGGCCTTCCCCAGAAGAAAAACGCTACCCAGTGCCAGAAGGGTGTAGAGCCAATTGCAGACCTTGGTGTCATGTCGGTGTCAAGTACGTAGCATGCGTTCAAATTCTGGCAGGTCGGCCCTTCAAACACAACGTAAAGCACATGCGGCATGGCAGAATGTGACAGCTTCCTCTTTGGCCCGTGTTGACCTGGTGTTTTCAAGGGGGCTCCAGTTTGAGAGAGAGGTCAACGGCAAGTCAGTCAGAAGTCTTAGTCGAGCTTCAAGCTTAAAATCCGATTTTAAAGAGCTTGGAGACGCTTGAACTGGGCTTTCTTCTGTTTCGTTCACACAATTTGTGCGTCCTGTGTTCGTAAACTCACTTACTCCTTATAATTGTGTTCTCTTCACAGTCGATGACAATGAATGGCACGTCCACAAGGTGAATCCTTGAATGCCCAGGAGTCTTCACCTCACCATAAGACCCATTAAGACAGGCGGTTGGGGTCTCGAGGGTGGGTTCCTTGTCAAGACAGCTCCTGTCACGTAGAAAGACTCATGATGGTACGGTTTGGGCAGATGTCTTGCCATGGAGCTCGAGTGTATGTTGCAGTGTATATACTACTGTCGACCGATCGTCGGCTTACAGCGTGTCATAGATGTCTCCTCAAATAGCTCAATATCTCACACGTCGCATATGTGTTCTTGCCTTCGTGTGTTGGTGTGTTGCAGTGTACACCGAAACAGATCATGCACCTGTGCCAACTCGAGCCGAGAAAGAAGCCTAACCCCAAAAGCCCAAACGTCGAAAACAAAACCTAAACCCTTGAATCCAAAGCGTAGATGGCGGGCACGAAGCCCTGAACACTAAAAGCAAAGAAGCGGCAGAAACCTAAAAAGCGAAGAGGAGATGGGCGCCATTTTTGAATTATGAGGCTCTTGAATCGCTGGTGCTTGAATCGCCAGCGCTCTTTTTGGTAGCGCATCTCTTTCGAAAGCCAAGGGGTCTACGCAGGACGAGCAGCCAGATTAAAGCTGGTTGTTGCCGTCCGCGTCGTCGTTGTGGCCAAGACCAGCCTGAGTGTGCACGCATTGGAGTCCAAGGACTGAGAGGAAGCTGAAGGTAAGGCCATGGACTCATCATGCTGGCACGTCTACCTTCTGAACACGCACTTACTTCGGCAGATTTAGGGTTACGGGTTGAAGTGTCGGAGTACCTACGTACCCAAAGTAGCCCCCCATCACTCACTCTCTTGTGACCCTTCAACAACATGCTAGCCCAAGAAGGGCTCAGGAACGGGGTCTCAGAGCCACAGAAGCTCCTTGCAAGCCCTTGGATGAGTTGTCCTGGTGACTTCAGGCCAGGGGCATCGGCGCAAGCTGTGCCAGCGCTGGGACCAAGACGAGGACGTAGAGGCTGATTGGGTACTCTGCAAGAAGCCTGCGCCGACTTGCGAGTTCGGAGAGTTCGGGTCGGATGCAGGGTGAAGCTGAGAAGTACCCTTCAGAAACGGACTTTCTGATCAGAGCGTCCGGACATCTGCAGAAAGTCACCCGTTACTCAGCACTTTGAAGCTCAGAAGGTTCTGAGTGCCAGTGCCACCGCCCCAAAACGGGAACTGAAGCCAACAGTCCCGTGAAAAGCGCCCGCCTCATGCTCCAGTGTGTCCGATCTTCCAAGATGTGCGAGAGGTTCGAGTGCGACTCCAGGATCTGCGCCTTCTTTCCACAAAACAGAGGGTTTTTCTGCAAGGACTTCTTTTTTCTCTAACTGACAGGCACCAACTTCAGAGGAAGTTCTGGTAAGTGCCTGAGAGCACGAGTTGAGAAAGGGATGGCTTGTTTCCATGCGTACTGGGGCGTACTGCCTGTTAAGGCTTCCACACTCTCACGATCCCCAGAGCACAAGCTCAGAACTCCCGAACCCGCCTGCGACTGCTGGCTCATGGTCTGCATGCGGGAGCCCCTGATGGGCCTGGAAGCTCCCAATGTGGGCTTGGCAACTCAAATATCTCGGCTTGCTGGACGTGCTTCGGACTGGATGTTTTGCGGAAGTGACCCCCTGCTTTTTGCGTTGTGTTGGATGCCTTTGGGGTTTTTGTGGGCACGTGGAGGTCTGTGAGAAGCAGGGGGAAAAAAAGACTCACAACATATGTCGAAACGGGCCTCCTTCCTTCCGAAAGGAAAGCTGCTGCCGAAGGGGCTTCGGCAGCGCCAGGTGTGCGTCGTCCCGGATCATGCCAGGGAGCTCCTGGGAGCTGCGGGGCTGCACTTTGAGGCTTTGAGGCAGGCTGAGTCTTGGTTCCGAAGAAGTGAAGTCCGTCAGCCATACCAACATACCATGCGCAATGACGGAAGCAGCTTGACTTAGCAGGTTGATCGATGTTTCTGACTCTTGCTCAGGACCAGCAGAGTCAGGATAGTGCGTCGGACGATCCCCGAACTTGAGTCTCAACCAGACTGCCCCACCCCCAAACCCTCTTAGCCGCTTGAGTCTTCTTGCCAATGAGTTATCACATGGAGTGGAAGATATCGTGCATGCAGAGAATCTTGCAAGATCCGGCGAATTCAGTGATCCGAAAGGTGCCTGAAGCTACAATCCGCAATCTGAGATCTCATCCCGAGTAGCTCGATCAACCCAAAGAACCCAAGCAACCCAAGCAACCCGCAAGGAGCTTCCATGTGCCATGTGCCTCAGCATTCGGGGATTGGGCCCGAGTCTGCGAGTGGACCGGCATAATGGACAGCTCCTCCGGCTTGGAGAGAGAGAGAGGCTTCGCTGAGGCTTCTTTAATGGAGGTCTTAACACTCTCATGCAAGGCGACAAAGCAGTGACCATCCTCGGCCGGAATCCCCCAGCATTGGAAATCTTTTGCCCAAACCAGAACTCCAGCCAGACCCCCGGCCTCAACCACGGAGCCGAGCCTTTGCGGGCTTCGGGAGCTCGACTCACAATGGCAAGCGTCTAGCTGAGGCTGCTAGTTCACAGCTTGCAGCCTTCCTTCCCTTCCAGCTTAGCTACGGGATGGGGGGCTCTCTCTCTCTCTCGCTCTCTCTTCCTTCCTTCCTCTGCACGTAGCCCCCACGGGGGCCGCCCCGAAGAGCCTGCTATCAAGCGAGTTCGTCTGTGTGTGAGACTGTGCTTCGTGTCGAGCTGGGTTGTGTGAAAGCATCTCTTACCCTGAAGTGCACATAGGATTCCTTTGTTCCCAGTACTCGAACGCAACATTGTCCTAGCACCACGACTTGAACGGTGTGAAATTGCGAGTTGCTTATGGCCACCATCGGTTGCACCAGTGTAGAGGCCAGCATACACAATGATAACGTGATAACGTGATTGACGCTTTGGTTGTGGACCAGGTATGTTGACCTACTTCTACCACTCTCGCTCTCTCTCTCTCTCTCTCTCGCTCTCTCTCTCTTTCTTTCTTTCTTTGGTGCGAAGGGAGGCCCCCCGGCAGAGTCGTGCGCCCCGGTCCCGCGTTCACGTCCTACCTAGACAGTAGTCCCCACACCCCTCAGTGTCAACCCTCACCTCAACTCCTCGAGCGACCTGGCCGAAAGCAAACTCCCTCTCCCCCATCTTATCTTTCCTACTCGGGTCATGTGGCCGTGGCGTGGCTCGTGCTGTTCGCCCCCCTTCTCTCTCTCTCTCTCTCTCTCTCTCTCTGTCTCTCTCTCTCGCTCTCTCTTTGCTGTCCTCGTTCTTCTTGACTTAATAAATCGGGGGGGCGAACCCCGCAGGCAGAGTTCTACGAATCCACAGGGAAAACGAAAAAAGGTGCAGCTTGGAAGTTTTCCCGCGAGCGTGTATCTGCTTGTTTTGTAAGTGCTGCTGAGGAGTGCCTTGCAGCGAGATGTTGAAACATTCGCTGCTTCACAAAGCCCCATCCTGAACAAGATCTCCTTCAACTTACAATCTGCGGAGCATTCCCCTGTCCCCACCCCCACCCCTCGCCGATCCCATGCGCGTCTCCACACGCTTTCCCTCCTTGCGTATGTCATCGTATGTCCCTGCGCTTTTCTGGGGTGTCCGGCCGGCTGGTCCTACGGCCCTTCCTGCCCATCATTTCGGCCCCTTGCAGTTCAATCCACTCCCCCAGATGTTTTTGGCTCTTTGGCCACCGCTCTGTCTTGCCCTGTTGCCGCACTCCCATTCGTCCCCATTGCATTCCTGGCCCCTTGTCGCATGCTGCATCTGGCCCCTTTCACTTCAAGCTGGCCAATCGGAGCTTCTGCTGCTCCTGGGGGGGTCCCCGCTCTGCTGTGGACCACTCGTTTGCCTGTCTTCCGCCATGTGCTGTCACTTCTCGCCTCTCGGGCTCTGCGGGCCGGAAAGTGCTGCAGTTTTGTATCTGCTCGCCCGCCAGCTATTCGTGGGCTCTATTTTTGTTCACTCTGGTTTAGTATGCTGGTGATGATTTCTTAGCTGTCTGTCTTTCTCCGCCATGGGCCTCTTAGGTCTCATACTCTCTTCGTCTTCGTCTTCGTCTTCTTCGTCTTCGTCTTCTTTCTCTTCTTCTTCTTCTTCTTCTTCTTCTTCTTCTTCTTCTTCTTATTCTTCTTCGTCTTATTATTCTTCTTCTTCTTCTTCTTATGCTTCTTCTTCTTCTTCTTCTTCTTCTTCTTCTTCTTCTTCTTCTTCTTCTTCTTCTTCTTCTTCTTCTTCTTCGGGCTCTTCAGCATCGTACCGGGAGGTGCGAAGCCATGACGCAGGCACTCTCACAACTAGCCAGCATTTCAGTGTTGATCTTGCGCTTAGTGTGATCGACGACCAAGTGCGCCTCAATCTTCAACGATTTCATGCCTCCCTTGATGTGCACGAAGACTTGCTCCTAATACAGGAACTTGGCGCGCTGGGGCGGTCATGCGCATCCCAGCTTCTATCTCAGAAAGATTGGGCGCACCGCCTGCTAGGCCTGTCATGGGGGCGAGCTTAGGTGTTGGTGTCTTGTTTGGTCCTATTGGGCGAAACGCACAGGCAGATGGGATCATGGTGCACAGCAGTTGCACAGACTACTCACAGGCCATCTAGGCCGGGTCCAAAAGACCTGTCTTCCATAACCAAAGGACGCTGCGCTTTGTGCGATGTCACAGTCAAAAAAATCTCTCTCTCTCTCTCTCTCTCTCTCTCTCTCTCTCTCCGCACGCATGGCCCCCCCCCGAAGAGAGGGCCGCCGCCAGGGGCGCGCGACTCTCTCTCTCTTTCTCTCTCTCTCGCCCTCTCTCAAGGGTTTGGGCAGCGTTCCCGACCTGCGACGAAGTGGGCCGTTGTCCCTCTCTTCCCCCTGCTCTGCTGACAATGGCGCGTGATTCTCTCGCTTGATTTGAGTCTCAGGGGCGTGTGGTGGCTGAAGCTGCGAACCGGCTTGTCAAAGTGCTGCGAGTCCTTAGACAAATGAGGATCACTCACTCCATGCTTACCTGCGACACTCCATTGCGCCTGCAAGCTTCATCTGTTAAAACGCAAACAGCCGACCAGATGGGATCCTCAGAAAAGCCTTTTCAGGGTTCGTCTCGGGTCTAGGCCGAGCCCACAACCCTGCGATGGGGCCAACTAATTAAGGTGCTTGGCCAAGGGTCCCGATGGACGCCGCCGACTGATCGAAGGACCGCGCCTTAAACCATCTTCAACCCTTGAACTCCTGAACTCTCCGGATTCCGGAACCCAGAAGCCGAGCCCAAAGCCCAAACAGAAAGTTCGGTGGAACATGAGTCCCGTGGGAAATGAGCTCAGCGAACGCAACGCCCCAGAAGTTTGGCCGGGCCACTCTGCATCTCTCCCAGAGAGGGCACAGGGCCCGACTTCGACGAGAGGGACAGGGAGGTGACCGGGAAGTCACCCGACCTCCGCAGTGTGGCTTTGAGAGTAAAAGCTGAAGTCTTTTGGGACGAGGCTGAAGCTGAAGGTCTAATGAACCTTTTCAGGGAGCCCCCGAGGCCCCTCAGAAGGGCCCGAAGGCGGACTTCCCAAAAGCCTGCTGTTCCGGCGAACACGCGAGGGGTCACTGCGGCGCTGGTCGGGGTGGCGTGCAGGGGCTCCACTTGCAACCTGGGGCGCTCTTCAAGCAAACGGGTTCGTAGAATCAGAGGATCCAAAACATTCCTACGCCTCACCATTGTAGCCTGGAATCTGCCTAAAGTCTACCGTCCACAATCGTGAACAACCTGCACCAAACCTTACACATCCTCGAACTCCCCCTCAGGCCGCGGCATTCTGGATGGCCTGCATCACCTCGCCGCCAGATCTCTCTCTCACACAGATGTTGGGCCCCATTGCTACCCCCCGGGTTTCGGAGAAGACCTTCGGAACCTCCACTACACAAGGGCTCACCACACTCCAAGTGACCGGGACTCACCTTCACAAGGATTCCGGAGAATTGAAGGTGCAGGAACCCAGGACCCAAGCCCTGGAGCCGGTCCACCTGTAGGTGCATCTGCCTCTGTTGCACCTGGCACTGCTCGATCTTCGCTACGATGGCCTCGCGCCGACATCGGCAGCCGCACTCTTTCAGTGTCAGGCATCAAGCTATCAAGCTGCTTCCCTTTTCGGGGGGGGTTGGGGGGGGGGGGGGCTGTGCCCCCCTTGAGGCATCCTCCACACAGCCGCTCTCCACACTGAATCTTCATTTTGTCCATATTGCTCCCCGTCCCACTAAACCCTAAACCCTAAACCCTAAACCCTAAACCAGAGCGCAAGGGGTCCGAAGAAAAGAATAAAAAAGAAAAAAAGAGAGAGAAAACATCCCCACAAAAAACATATCGCGCAGCTCAAGGCCCCCCAAGAAACCTCGAACTTGCTGTCGATGTCAAACCTTGGCGCTGCAAATGTGTCAGCATGAACCGCTTTGGAGACCCACTAAAGCAAAATTCTCTTGGGCGACTGGGTGTCTGAAGATCCTACAAACTGCTTCCCCAGCGCAGCGAAAGAGGGCACATGAACCCAGCTAGTACCCACAAAGCCCCTCTCGAAAC